GTCAGGTGATCAGGTCATATGACCAAGGATGAGGTCATATGAGGTCATGCACAGCCATGCACAGCAGGTCACCTGACCATCCAATCCTTCCAGCAGGTTCCAGCACATGCCAAGGTATACCAGCTACTTCCATGTCATAAAGGCTTAGTCATGTCTCTTGACCAAGCAATGAGCTGGTGCCCTGACACACTCACAGTTACTCTTGCTGAAACCCTGGTTCAAGTTCCCAGCAAGGTCCTGGTGTCAGCATGTCCTCTGTTCAGCAAGGTGCTCAAGGAAGCCTATGGCAAGAAACTGATTATCCCAGATGTGATACAGGTGACCAAAGTACAAGATGGTGAGGCTCCAATATACCAGATTGAAGGCATTTTGGAAGACATGGACGGGTTATTGGTTGGCAAAGATATGGTCCCCCTCCAGCAGATCGACTGTTTAATTGGTGACTATGACACTCCCATACCCTGTATCCTTGATGGCAGCTCAGGCATTGTTGGCATCAGCAAAAAGTGTTGCAAACAAATCAGGCTTGCATACACCCTGGTCAATGGATGGTGCAGGGAATCTGCCAATGGTTTGGTTGATCAACTTCTTGGACACATCCCGAATTTACACATCAGCATCTCTGGTCTCAACTTCTATGTCCTCCCAAACCTGCCTTTCCACCTGCTCCTCAGTCACCCATTCCATGTCCTCGCCTCTTGTGTCACCCAGGATTATATGGATGGAAAACAGAAGATTCAGAACACCTGTCTGAATTCCCACCAGATGATAAACCTATGGACTCAATTGCACCACATGGGAAGAAAATGAGTGGTCCAGGATTTTTAATTTGGGACCATCTTCCCCAGCAAACAGAAGATGGAATGGAAACCTTGATTAATCGGCAATTGTCCTTGAACAATGGCTCTCAGATAGACACTCCGGATTTGGATACCATACCCAACAATACCCATCCTGTATATGCAGCCCAAAAATACAAACCCACAGACAGACACATGAAGCCTGTCTGATGATGACACCCAAAAATGTAAAAATACGGAGACACTTTCCTTCCAACCCTCTTGCTATGCTTCCCCCACTCCCTGATACCCCATCGACCTTTATCCCTGGAAAATGGCTCACTCTGGAATGACTTGAAGAACTGAACATCAACAAATATGGATTCCTTTGGCCCAAAGAAGAAAAACATGTGACATGGGTCCTTCATACCCACAAAAAAGTGTTTGCTTGGAATGGGTTTATTTCACAGTGATTACTTCAACCTGGTCCAAATGCTGACAATTGAACATATACCCTCGCAACAGAAGAATATTCCGGTGCCCCCCGCTTTGTTACCAAAGGTCTTGAAGGCCTTGCAAGACAAATTAAATGTGGGAATATATGAACCCTCCCAATCCTCATACCGATCCTGCTGGTTCTGCATTCTGAAGAAAGACAGATCCCTATGACCTGTTCTGGACCTACAACTGCTGAATGGCATAACAATTTGGGACTCAGCCCTTCCTCCGCTTTCTGAACTGCTAGTTGAATCATACAGCAGATGCTCCATCTACACACTCTTCAATTTCTTTTGCAGCTTTGAACAACACCTCCTGCACCCAGAAAGTCAGGATCTCACCACCTTCCAGTCACTCAAAGGTTCCCTCTGTAGCACCCAAAATCAGATGGGAGGCACAAACAGTGTTCAGATTATGCATGAAGACATCACTTTCCTCCTCCGTGACAAGATTCCCGAATATACAATCCCCTTCATTGACAATGTCCCCATCTGCAGTCCACCAACACAATATGAACTCCCTGGTGGTGACTTCAAATGGCACTCCCAAAATAAGGGCATTCATCATTTTCTGTGGGAACACATGGAAACTGTAAATTGGATACTGACCCACATCAAACATTCTGGTGGAACATTCAGTGGTCTGAAAATGGTTATAGTGGCTCCTGAAGTTGTCATCCTTGGCCAGCGGTGTACCTATGCGGGCCGACAGCCCACACCTTCTAAGGTTGCAAAAATCCGGAACTGGCAGCCATGCAAATCCCTCACAGAAGTCCATGCATTCCTGGGTACTCTCGGAATCCTCCAAATATTCATAAAGGATTTTGCTATGAAAGCCCACCCCTTGGAACATCTCAAACACAAGGGCACAATATTTGCCTGGGGCCCTGAGCACCAAGCAGCCTTTGACCAGCTAAAAGCAGATGCATGTCAGGATGGACTCCTCTGTCCCATTGACTATGAAAGTGACTGTAAGATTATCCTTGCTGTGGATTCCTCAAATATCGGTGTTGTATATGTCCTCTATCAAAATGATGTGAATGGCAAATGGAAACCAGCCTGCTGCAGATCCCTGGCATGGAATGATGTTGAATCCTGATATTCTCAGCCCAAACTCAAACTATACAGCTTATACTGCACTCTCCGGGCACTGCAAGTCTTCCTCATTGGTGCACCCTGATTTATCATTGAAGTGGATGTGTCCTGCATCAAAGGGATGCTAAATAATCCAGACCAGCAACCTGCTGCAGCTCTCAACAGATGGGTTAGTGGGATACACCAATTCGACTTTGATCTTGTCCACATCCCTGCCAAAAAACACACCAATCCAGATGGTCTCTCCCACCATCCCCTGAATTCACTGGATGCTCTGAACCTGCCCAACATAGACCATGAACAATGCCTGGGACTCTTGTACCCCACATACCTCCAATCTGCAGTTGAGGACTCTGCACCAGAAATAGAGATACCCATGACCTCCTCCACTCAACACCTTGATGACACATTGCAATTATCCACCAATACCTTACCGATTTGTTGCTCCCTCTGGACTGGAATACATGGCAGCATACAGCTCTCATCAAACAGTCACTTCAGTACTTCCTTCACAATGGCAAACTGTGTCAACATAATCTCACTGGCTCCCCCCAAATATATGTTCCATCTGCCAAACATCTAGCCCTGCTGAAACAAGCCCATGATGACAGCAGTCACAAAGGCTTCAAGACTGGCCAGGATCCTCCGTCTCCAATTTTGGTGGCCTGACCTCCATGCAAATATTGAATGGTACCTCCATACCTGCCATGCATGTCAGATCCACAGCATTCGGAAGGTCCTCAAACCTCCAACAGTCAATTATCTGGCTCCACTTTTCTCCAAGATCTACTGTGATACCATGAAGATGCCTCCCGCAAAAGGATACACCTGCATTGCTCAAGTCCGCTGCTCCCTGTCCTCATACCCTGAATGGCATCCTTGAAAAACAGAAACCACAATGGCCCTTGCTTTGTTTCTCTTCCATGACGTTATCTGCCACTGGGGAAATATTGCAGAGATTGTCACTGACAATGGATCAGCCTGGGTAGCTGCAGTCAAGGAACTGGAATGATGCTTTGGCATCTGCCACATCTGCATTTCACCATACAACTCTTGCGCAAATGATGTGGTGGAATCCAAACATTTCACAATCTGACAAGCGATTTTGAAAGCCTGTGGAGATAATATTAAGCAATGGCCTGACAAAGCGCCTACTGCATTCTGGGCTGAGCAAATTTCAGTCCAGCATAGCACCAGTCTCTCCCCATATTTCATTGCACATGGTGTTCACTATGGACTTCTAGCAAGCAACATTCCTCATACCCCCACCCAAATTCCCTATGACTGACAAGCTGGCCTACTGCATTTGACAGCTTGAGCATTGCAAGTCCGATTTATCTGATCTCCAGGAGAAGGTTCACCAGGCCTGACTACAGACAGCTGACTGATTTAAGGCAGACCATGAGCACATCCTTGCTGACTACAACTTCCAACCTGGCACCCTGGTCCTCATCTGCAATACTCGCATTGAGAAGGAACTTGACCATAAATCAAGGTCCCAATTTCTTGGTCCCATGGTTGTTGTCACCCATACTGCCAGAGGCAGCTATGTGATTGCCAATTTGGATGGAGCCATTCTCAAAGCCTGCATTGCACAGTTCTGCATTTACCTGTATGTCAGGGAATGTCCCTAAAATCAATTGTGAACAACTACAATTGACAATGATCCAAGTGCAGTCACATGGCATGACACCCCAAACAACAGCTGATACTACAATCACCTGACTCCAGGAAGGACAGATCCCAGAATGTGGGACGTCAGTCATAGATTGTGTGGGACTGACCAAACAAGAGACATAAGGTGCCTGCCCTAAGCAAGCTGTATAGTCAGCCACGGACTTTGCTTCCTTTTTACTTCCATACCTAGACATATATAGAACCCTAGGTATAGCCCCTGTAGCTCTTTAGAGCTAATCCATTCAGGTTTTAAAGATATATTTAAACTATTTGTAAAATGAAATTTATCTTCAAATGTGCTTCCTTTATTCATATTTGAAATTATATTAAAACTTAGGAACCCCAAGGTCCAAAGTCATTAGGTTCTAAACACAAAGCTTTAATCATTCCAAACATGCACATGACACACACACAATCATGCCTGTTGGCTGCCAATCCCCATTCACTCTATAACACCCCTGTTGATCCCTCCATTTGTGAACAAACATTGAGGCTTTGATTGATGTACAACTCACTACTCTCCAATTTGCTCATCACCTGTTTGGTTATTTGATCATCAACGATTGTTGGATCATGTTGCCCTCACACTGTACTACCAGGGATCTGACTGAACCCCCACCCTGCCTGACATTTTGCAGCAAATGTCTGCCAAACTCCTGGAGACCATGAGAGACATCTTGTTGACTACCACAGAGCCCAACCCTGAATAAATAGTGCAGGCCTTATACCCACCAACACATTGAAACAGCATGCACCTTACCTCCTGAATTTGTCACTCATTTTTTTATTTGTTTCCCCAAGATATATCTACTAAGTCCACACAGACTCAGTAGCATGGCAAGAACACAATCCTTACTGGAATACCTGCAATTTCATATGATATGCATGACATCCAAATTACCAAAAGCAAAAAAAAACTGTTGAAGTCACAAGTCTTGAGGCACACTGCAGTAGCATCAAGCAGACAAGATGGATTACCTCGAATTTTGCTTAAGGCAAAATTTGGATCTAAGAGAACACAAGACATGAAAGCACTATGACTATGACTATGAAATGAAAAAAATGAAACAGGAAAAAGAAAACAAAAGAAGAAAGGGAAAACCAATTTACTCAGCCAGAGCCCTCCCCAGGAGAGTCTGGACTTGATCTGCCCAGCTTGTTACTGTGTCCATTGCCTTCTGAGCTGCGTCCACTGCCTTTTGAGCTGTGTGCAGGCTCTTCTGCAGCTTGAGCATCTTGTGCTCTGCCATATGGAGTGGCATGACTGGCAGCTTGACCTCTAAAAAGTTCAGTTAGCATCACCCAAATATGAACTACACAAGGAAAAGACTTACTGGCCTCTGGAAGGCAGGACTGATTTTGCAAAGGGCCAACCAAATCCTTGTCATCTTCCTGCTCATGTTTTTTGGGCTTTGCTGGTGCATAGCTGTGCACTGGCTTCTGCTTCTTCTTGTCGGCAGGCTTTTCAGCAGTTTCTTCAACAGGCTTGGGCTCAGGAGTATCTGGGAGGAAAAGCTGCTCCAGAGGCGCCGAAGGCAGAGCTGCAGCTTTGGCAATACATGCTGAACAAGGAGTCAGTCAAAGTCAATAAAAGTGGGAGAAGAAAAAAGGGTGTACCTATACATGTGCTGCAAGGCTTTTTCGCTGCCTTGCACACTGAGCAAACTGCCTTATTGGCCATCTCCGCAATATCACATTCATGGCATGCCACACCATCTTTGAAAATGGCATGCTTGTGACACAAAGTACATTGTCCAAAATATGCATCAGCACAAGATCAAGAGCACAATAAAGCAGACTGACTCATGCAGTGCTTGGCTGAAAACGACTCCCTTACTGCTTCATCCACTGTTGCCATCAACACCTTTACCAGCGTCTCTTCTGGCATCCACCCCTGTGATATTTTGGTCAGCATCTTCGAAGTGCAAAGAGAAAAATGGCCAACTTACTGCATTGCGGGAATCCTCCTTCATCAGCCTCCCATGTGCCCTGGTTGCAGGCAGTGTCTTATTTGCATCATTGTCCAGGTGTGGCATGACCGGCTTGGCAGGTGTCATCTCCTTCACCTTTGCCTTGCCCTTCTCTGGCTTCACCAGAGGACTGGGCAGGCTCACCAGGGATGTCTATATAATTTGGGTTAGTAAGAGAAATTGGCTCGTGAAAACAGAAAACATGTACCAAAAAACTGGACAACATTGCCTTAAACTCCTTCTCATCATTGTCCTCTTCCTCATCCTCCTTGGGCAGTGCAGACAAGGTGGCCAGCTCCTCTTGCTGGTCAGGCCAAAAAGATTGACCCACTCCTTGGGCAAATCATGGATGAGGGCCTTGTGGGGGCTGTTGAGCAGCAGCACAACCATGTTGCCAAATGGCACAACATCCAAATATTTCACCAAGGGTGAAAATCCGGGATCCCTGGCATCTTCGCACATGCACACAACAATCATGGCAGCTGTCTTCTGCATGGCAGCATGTTCATCCTTTGGCACTATGGCCTTGGCAGCAGACCTGCAGGTGTTGGCTTTGCCATATCAGAGTGGGAGATGAGAGTAAGTGAAGGCAGGGGTTCAGTTGAGATCTGCAGAGACAGGAAAGGCGAAATTTGGTCCCATTTATAGGCACAAGAGCACCTCAATGGAAAACAAAAATGTGCATGGGCCCCACTAAGTGCTGATATGCAGAACACTGTTTCAGCTAGGTGGCACAGATAAACACCACACCAGGCTTCACAAAGCAAGAAATCGGACAATCAGGGTCTCAGGCACCATGTGACTCAATGCAAAAAACCCAGTCAGGGTCCCTCTTGTGGACTTAAGTGGTGCTGCAAGCCACTGCTTAGGGTTTTCATGTGCTGACCAGCCACCCTTAGTGCCAAATGTGCAGCAACCCCCTCTGATATGCCCTTCACCAAATACATCGACACCACCTTTTTACCAGTGCCCCAATATGCAGCCCAATGTCTTACAGCAGAGAGTCTCATGATTGGTTCTTGATAATGCTGCTCTCGCTTAACTCAATATTGGGCAGTGCCACACCATGTTCCTGGCTGTGCAATTATGTCAACCGGGGCCCCACTGACTCATTGAGTCAGTACTCAAGGTTTGGGGGGGATGAACAACCCCACCTCCAGTGGGGTGTGTCAGGCTGGTATTCCTACAGTTATTTTCAGGCCTTAGAGACCGTTGCACAGCACTACGGACCATCACTACATGGACAATGCACCCCAGCAATGAGTCTTAACCCCCCCACAGATATCCAGCATGGTGACTACTATGATTCCCCAGGCAATGGGACCCCTTGGATATTTGGCATGACAACTGCAGGTTTCCTCTGCAACAGGATCAACCCACATGGATATTTGGCATGCCAATGCCTGCCTAGGAGAGGTATCCAGAGACCAGATTAGTATAGAGTACAGTTTTTAGTAGCTAGTATAAGTAGTTTTCAGAAACTCCTGTATCTAGCTTATTCTGTCCCTTATCAGTTAGCATTATACAGATCCGATTATTGGTATACTGGCAGACTTGACTTGACTTAGCAAATTTTGACTTGACTTATCATGACTGGACTGGACAGACACTGAGCTCTGATTATTGCATACCAATTTTTGATAGCTCAGCTGCAGGCTGACTCTGGCATTCCTACTGACTTTCCCCATCTATCCCCTCTTTCCCTAGCAAGTTCTCGCACACCACCCATCAGACCAATATTTCGGACACCTTTTGGGTTGGATCAGCAGTTGATCCCAATGTTGGCCTCCTCATCATCCACACAACACCAACCTTCTCCTCCTGCTTTGCAGTCAATGTAATCTGTAAGAGCAGCAGACAGCAGACAAGTGGCATTCACTGCATTGACCTTGTCCACCTTCTTGGCTCTGCCACTCTTACCCCACTGTACATTTTCCTTGATGTTTGCATCCTCTTTCCCCTTCTCTTTCTTCCCATTATCCTTCTCCTTCTCCTTCTCCTGTGCCCTGCCTTTCCCCTTTCCTTTTCCTTTCATCCCCCTCCTCTTGCCTGCACTGGGGCCAACAGCATCCATCAGCTTGCTATCCACATCCGTGACCATACCAAGAATGCTGGAGACCATCTCCTGTGCATCCCTTATGGTTTCCTCTGACAGGTTGACCTTGCTCATGGCTGAGACTGGAGACGTCACTTCCTCAGCACTGGATGTAGACATCAGAGAGTAGTTACAAGTTGTGAAGATTGAGGCTGAGAGTAAAGGTGATGGATGTGAGTAAAGATGGATGACCTGGGTTGTCCATCTGATGCCTCATGTCTGGGTGCAAAAAGGGCATGCACTTCCAAAGACTGTGCTTCTTCTGCAGCCCCAAGGCCGAGTTGCCAGCACAAATCCAGAGGCGATGTCCAGTGACTGTCAGACAGACATTGGCAATTTTAGAGTGGGGTAAGAGTTGTGAAGCCAGATTTGCAACCCTGTTATCATGTATAGCTGCACTCCAAAGAGAGGTAGCACTGTCTCTAGCACAGAAGCAATGCAATGCATGTCCATTCACAGTTACTCATATGATCCACTGTGCTTGTGGTGGCATATTGCCATATGGATCGAGGGGTTCTTTCTGGGTAACACATCCTACAGGGCAACCAATGGCTCATTCAAGCTCATTGTTCCCTAAATGCCCATTACTGCTTCAATTTCAGTGTTGCCAGTACCAGACATCTTGACAGCAACAAGAAAAACATTAGACACAATTTTTTGTCAGTGAAGCAAGTATTATTGAAATAGCAACTAAAGGCCATAATTGACCACTCAAATCAAGGAAAGCTGGGCACTTGTTCTTTGGCAGAAGCATTTCTGACACATCACTGCAAGGGAATGAGGCCAAGGCCACCTTGTGCCCTGTGCCCCTTCTCCCACTCTTCTCATCATCAAACAACCACCATCGAATTTGAAACTCACATTGTAAGTGTGACTAGGTTGTCTCAGTCTGTCTTATTGCTCAATACTGACTGTCTGAACAGGCTCTTCCACTGCATTTGTTCTTGTATGTCCTAATTGATTCCTGCCCCCAGCCCCCTTATGTCTGACTCTTGCCATAGATGTCAGAATCATGACTATCCTGCCAAGCAACAACACTCAAGCAGGCTATTGCAGGCACTATTATCAAGGAGAAGTGTGTGGAGCAGGCAGAGGTGTATGTGAAGGAGGAGGAGATGCAATTGTTAACAATAACATGGAGGGAGCTCCCCTCCCAGCTTTGCCACTCTTACCCCACTCTAACATTGTCAACTCCGGAGGAGGAGATGTGATTGTGAACAACAACATGGAGGGAGCTCCCTTCTGGGCTTTGCCACTCTTACCCCACTCTATCTCCTGCAATGAGAAGGAGGATTACTGGGATGATCCTCCTATCTATTTTGACATAGCGCCTCCTGCATACAGCATCAAAAGTGTCATCCCAAATAACAGTGCTACTGTCAATGCTGTGGATAGTGAGTTCATCCCTGGTCATTCTGCTTGTGTCCACCAAGCTGTCAAGAAAGGTGCAGATTGCGGAGAAGTTGTGGCTGGTTGGATCTGTGCCATGGGCTTTGCCACAAATATCCTTGTTGATAATGCCATGCATGCATTAATCGGCTGACAGTCCCCCTGTACTATCATATGTCAATGTTTCCTTCCTATGATCCTGTTTCTTGTGAATCATTAGTCTGCAGCTGAAATGATATGCAATTGCTCATTATTCTACACAATGATCCTCAGCAGGTGACTCCTCCTGTTCTGATATTGTGTACAAGATCTCCAGTATGTACATGACAATGATGCTATAGCTGATGTCTTTAATGAGTCCCTGGTCAAGTTCCAATCTTTATTTAGTCTGCATTGCTTCGAAATGGACTGATTGACACCCATCTGGGTTTCAAAGGTTGGCATTGGGCTCAGCGAAGTCATTTCCAGTTGTCCACTCACTGGGGTTCCTGATGACCAGGACAACCTGCACTGGCACCTGGCTCTGGACTCTGGTGAAATGTCTCCTCTGTATATGGGGTGCTGCAGTGGTGTATGCAGCTGCCCCAAGAGGTGAGAATGGCCTTCCTGTTTCCATGATTATGCAACTTACATTCCTGTGGAGGCCACCTTCATCAAACTCTTCTACCCAGTCACAGGGATCTGTCTCTTATGACAAATGAACCAATACACCAAGAGGTTTAGCAATTGTGTCAGATGTTTGGACAGCCAAAGGATTTGCTATTGGCCTGCCCATGTTGGAGACATTACCCTCAGGTGACAGCACCTCAAGCATGACATGCTACAATGGTGAAGTGAGCTTAGGTGGATTATGACCTTACTGATCACTAACAAGAGGTTTGGCAGCTTTGAGGAGGGCATGTGGAATTTGTAAAGTCACATATAATGTTCGGCAGAGTGAATGCTGGTGGGTCATCATTGCTGTCATTGTGGCCAGCAAGGACAGCTTGGCCTCAACAGTAATCCCTATACCCACACCCTTATTGCTAAATGCTGCTGTGTGTTCATCTGCCCTGCTTGCCATCACCATGCTCTTCAGCCCTCATATTACATGTTTCTGGTATGACTCTTTCACCATTCTGTTGCTCTGTGGGGTAAGAGTGGTTAGGCTGCCATGCCAGCCCACAGACATACCCATTTAGATCCTGCAGGTAAGTGACAGCCTCAACTGGTAATGGCAGCAAGGTCACTAACAAATATGTATTAGAGTTCACACTCAGCTCTGATGGGCAGTCAGGGCAGTGTGTGGTCTGTCATGACCACCCACCCAAACATTGGTCACTGATTCGACACCTCATACAGCATGCTGCAACAGCAAAACACATCCACTATGTGAGTGCTAATCTGGCTTGGGCCAAGAGGCCTGTCCCACTTAGATGCACAACATCTAAGCAGGGCATCAAGGTTACCCATGGATGGTCAAGCCCCTTGCAGAACTTGCCAACCAACCTTGTAGAGTATGAGCCTGCTCCCTTCTCTGACAAGCATGGACAACCTGTTGTATTCCACCTTGTGCATGAGAATGCAGACAATATCATGACCATGGAGGAGCTCCAGATGGAGAGGGACAATTCATACCTGGACAAGGTGAAAGATGCAGGCATTGAAAGTGCTGAGGATCATGACTGGTATCAAAGTAAGTTCACTGGCATCCATATGATGTCAAGGAGCTAAGAATATTCTAGGACAGCAAGGGTCATGGTCTATAGCTGACCATATGCAACTTCTTTCTGGTCAAGTGAGAGACTCCCAGTGGTTTCCTTATACTGAGCATACTGTGAGTAAGCTTGCACTGATGCATATGTATTCCTTGCTAATGATGTCAGATGCTATTTTCTGATATACTGTTGCATGCGCCAAGGATGTGCTTCTCTATTCCTCAGCAAGAAGCCATGGGTGTATGGGCATTGGCACTTGGAGCCTCTGAAATCCCTTCCCCTTTGCATGTGCAGGCCTGAAGCCAGTCACTACTCATTGCAATGGGCAATCCAGTGTGCTGGGTCATATCTTGACTCTGAAATCTCTTTTACATGCTGGACATCAGATGGATGATTGCAATGGTAAGGTGGATTGAGGACAAATTGAGATTTGACTCTTGCTGACAGTCAGTGAGGATGTTGCTAACCCACACAAGCACCCATACATGCATTTCTATCCGGAGCTCCCTGACTCATTGTTGGAAGAATTCTGGCATGGGCAGCTATGGTGAGAAACAGCGGGTTGCTTTCTGTTTTGATGTCATCCAATGCCAGTGCCAGTGTTGCATCCTGGGAATAATTGGGGGTCAGTGTCCGAACCTTTGTCATAGTGTTGCCCAGTGCCCATTCTTCTGTCTCCTCTAATTCAGCTGTTGTCCATGGTTTGTCCACAGCCCTGTCATATTTCCATTCAAGCCTGTTCAGCATCTTGTCCCAAATGCAGCTTTCAGTGGGTGGGAATTTGAGTATGCAGAGGAGGGACTTCTGTTGGTTGAGGATGGAAATCTGGTTGTGCTTGATGAGCCAGGTAGAAATTGAGTAAAAATCCCTGTAGAATTTGGCAAATTTACCATTGGTCTTAATGCAGTGTTGCCACTTGTGAATGAGGTCATCAAGGTCCTGAGTTGCATACTGGTGTTTGTTATTTGCTGTGCCAGGATAGTACTTCAGTATTTTGGTCTTGAAATCCTTGTACAAGTCCTTGTTTGCATTGTCCATACCATCATGGATCTGTGCCCATAATTTGTAGGTGTTGTTGTCAGTGTAAAAGCAGGCCCAGTCGATCTTGTCTCCTCCACCAGTGACAGCAGGTTCACACAAGCCAAATAGTTTTTCCAGGGCCACAAAATAATGGGTGATGCCAAGGGGTGTAGGGGAAAAGCAGGGGGACAAAGAAGACTCCCTGCCCATGGGCATTGTGTGTTTGCTCGCCATGAGGAGTCATCGGACTGCGTCCACTATATTGGTATTGCTCCTGCTGGAAGAAGTTGATGATACTTCTGTTTCATCCAAAATTGTGGGTGTTTCTTGGAGCATGGTACATCGGGCTTGCCATTTGTCCCTGAGGTCATTTTGTTGGTCTATAGCAGAGGTGGGTACTGGAGTATGGGAAGCCAGTATTGAAAATTGGAGGAGGAGTTCTCACCCCAGCAGCTCTTAATCAGTAAAAGCTGCCTTGCATTGGGCTCCAATATGATCCAACCCAAAAGGTGTCCAAAATATTGGTCCAATGGGTGGTGTGTGAGAACTCACTAGGGAAAGAGGGGAGAGATGGGGAAAGTCAGTAGGAATGCCAGAGTCAGCCTGCAGCTGAGCTATCAAAAATTGGTATGCAATAATCAGAGCTCAGTGTCTGTCCAGTCCAGTCATGATAAGTCAAGTCAAAATTTGCTAAGTCAAGTCAAGTCTGCCAGTATACCAATAATCGGATCTGTATAATGCTAACTGATAAGGGACAGAATAAGCTAGATACAGGAGTTTCTGAAAACTACTTATACTAGCTACTAAAAACTGTACTCTATACTAATCTGGTCTCTGGATACCTCTCCTAGGCAGGCATTGGCATGCCAAATATCCATGTGGGTTGATCCTGTTGCAGAGGAAACCTGCAGTTGTCATGCCAAATATCCAAGGGGTCCCATTGCCTGGGGAATCATAGTAGTCACCATGCTGGATATCTGTGGGGGGGTTGAGACTCATTGCTGGGGTGCATTGTCCATGTAGTGATGGTCCGTAGTGCTGTGCAACGGTCTCTAAGGCCTGAAAATAACTGTAGGAATACCAGCCTGACACACCCCACCGGAGGTGGGGTTGTTCACCACACCCAGGTGAGTATATACACTATATCCTTGCAGACTTAACCCCTATCTGATGCACATATAGACTGAGTCCATGGCCTGCGTGACCCTCTCCACCTATGGGCCAGTGGAGGAGATGACCACCAACTATGCTGAGCAGCAGCATCTGCTGGGAGTGCAGACTGGAGAAGGCATCACCAACATCTGCTGCGCTGGGTGCCTGACAACCAGCAAGAATGTGCTGGATGCTGCTTCAGCTGTCTGCAGTGTTGCCTGCTTCCCTGGTCCCTGCTTGACACATACCTGCACTGGCATTTGCAGGCATGCCAAGGGTCAGTGGCTCAAGCTGGTCAAAGGCTGGTTTGCCATTGCCTTCATCATTGTGGTGACTGGTGCAGTGGGCTATGGTACATCCTGCTTCTCCTCTCATTGCCATACAATATACTGACTATATATACACAGTGTTGCATAAAATGGGACTCTTTTCTTCTATGGGTGCTGGTATTGCTCAGGCTTGGTCCTTCACCCCTTGGGGTAAGGCCATCAAGAAGCAGGCCTGAATTCTGTAGAACACCTTTGTATTAATAGCACAAGCTTGAACAAATCGGATGTGATGATCATGAGCTTTGAAGTGTATTAGAGTGGGGTATCTTTGTGTTGTTGTTGATGATCATGTCTCCTCCGGCCTATTAATAATATTAAATATATAGTTGACCATGCTATTAATAATATAATAATATAATATTAATAATGGTACAAAGATATCACTAATAACCTACAGAATCCACCGCCTGGACTTCAGTGGTACAGTGACCTCTGGTATCCGTATGGCGTTCAGGCGGAGAGCGGCAGTGCACCCAGAAGGATCCCGACCCTGACGCATCCTACGGTAACCGGGTGGAGATTAGGGTGCTGTGTACCCTTTACACATCACCGTACACGCTGTGCTTCTTTGAGTAGCTAATTCATTTATGGTCTAGAATGGGTATCAGAATACAAAATATATCTTGGTTAATGTTATGTTATTGTTCGTCGCTGACTTTGTTGTGAATGACTCAAACAGTGGTGCACTGGCCTTCACCGCCGCCGCTTCTCATCAGCTCCACTGTTACCCAATGCCTCCGGTGCTTGACGACGCTTCCTTTGCCAAGATCGCTTCCTTGCACCCACACGATGCGCTTCTCGGCTTCTTTAGTTTCTGTAATGTCTTTATTCCGCTTCGGAAACACGTAACCTTGGCGCTGGCTAATGTCCGACGCGTCTCTCTCCTTCTTATCACTTCAGCCCAACTACCAAAACGAGTAATCTTAATCCAAGAACACACCTATCAGACCACCTTCAACCTCCTTATGTCACTAACATTTCCCTTCCTATATCGCCTCCAATCTGCCCGCAGATCATCCACGGCGCCGCTGCCCCGAGGACACCCACCGACGGCAGCCCTTAGCCAGGTGGACAGCGTGCACACACAGGAGGATGGCGAGTTGATGAGGTGTACACTGTATGCTGCAAACCAGGCGTGTGCAGCTCTGCATAAACCTTTCAGCGCAACTGCTGAAATTTAACTCAACCCCACTCCCACCCCACTCCCACCCCACACCGGATCGAGTTCAACCCAATCTCTTCCCCTGTCCTCACCGTACTCATCTTGAACCATGTACCCCGAGCAATGCAGCCCCCTCCCCCTCACCCGCAAACTCAGCAAACGTAAATGGCGCCTCCCCCTCCCCTCCAACTCCGCACCCGCATCAATCCCCAGCTCTCCACGCTCCGCACACCTCAGCGAGCACTCTCTCGACCCCCACGGGCACGAGGGTTATGACCAGCTGGACGAAGAGGACCTTGGGAGGGTGGTGAGGTCCAAACCGAGTGCGCAGCTCCGCAGGGAGAGGGAGATGTTCAAGAGGGAGAGTTTGGAGCTGAGGAGGACGCTGAGCGAGTGGGGGAGGGAGGAGGCGGGTGTGGCTGGGTGGGTACTGTCTCTCTTCTGGGCACTTGGCTGACCTGGTTTTGACAGAGCTGAGCAAACGCATCAGAAGCTTCCTCCCAGCTTTCCCCGGATCCTGCACAATGCCCCCACAAGACGTGCACACACAGAGCACGCATTCGCCGCCGCCCTTGGCCAGCACAGAGTTTACGTCGCCAGTTCCGAGCGGGCGTTGCAGGACGCTTTCCTACAGGGCAAGATGACGTTAGAGGAATATGAGCGTGCTGTTGATTGTACGTCCTTCTCCCTGCCCTGCTTGGGTCACTGATTCTGATCGGGTAGATCTGCACGAGATGAACCGGCTTCCCCCTTCTCCTAAAGTATCGCGTACGTCCCCCCTCTCCCTCTCCCCCTCCCCCTCCCCTCCTCTTGTCCCCCCTCCCTCCAACCCCTAACCCTCAAACAGCACAAACATCATTCCACGTCACCCGCCCTCCCTTCTCCCAATCCCAATCCCACACCTCTCCCTCCAGCTCGTCAATCTCCCTATGCTCACTTGACCTGCCCGGTTCGGATACTCACTCCCGCTCCCACTCCCACTGCTCTGGACAAGCGTCGGGGGTGGACGGCAATTGCAGGAGAACCCAGATGGAGGAGAGCAGGGGAAGGGGAAGGGGAAGGGAGAGGAGAAGGGAGAGAAGGCTGTTAGTGAGGAACCCGAGTCCTGAGAGTGAGGAGAAATGAACCTCGGGGGGACCGGACGGGCGGGGAGGGAGGGATCGACGCGCGAGAAGGAAGATTGCAAGCAAGTGGGCGAACGACGACGACGACGACGACTGTTAAAGAGGGCAGTGGTAGGATCGGCATGTCCAACAAGACGAGCTAATCCGTCAGCAAAAAGAGCCCTTTGACCGTTCTGCGCACTGCGCACGAAAGCCGAGCACCCAGCTCGTCACCAAATATGCACATGAACATGTCCTTCGACCGAGGCTTTCGATCGCGCAAGAAGCTTGCAATGCTTGGATCTCCTCGTTAGGAACGGACGGCGGCAGAAAAGCGCACGTAATCTCGTACGAAAGAGCTGGTCGTCCTCCCTAGAAAATACGGGGAGCGAAGCGCATATACGTCGTATATGCATGGGCGGGGATTCGTACCCTTGGAATACGGCACAGTCTTGGCGTGCTATGTACGTCAGACTTTGTTCGCCCCGTCTGGTTGAAGTGCTTTGGGGGACAAGATCATGAAGAGAAAACGACGGGCGAGGGGATATCGGCCACCTGTGACTCCGCCTGTATCGCATCGTCTGTCCCAAAAAAGTCAAATTCACCAAATTCAGCACGAACGACTGCGGTCGCACAACTGTGGACGCTGTCGATTGCGATTGCGGTATACGTAGGTGTGCGTGTGGGGGGGGTCTTATGCCCCTGGGTCGATATATCAAAAGGTCATGAGTGGCCAACCTGGAGATGGGCGGGGGGGCAAGAGCTAGCATCGCATATAATAGACTGTTTATTCCTTTCTGCTACCTGGTTCTTGCTTTCTTTCACCAGCTTCACATACATGTCCAGTACGCGCATTCACAGGCCACTAGTCACTACTACTTGCCCCCTTTCCCCCGCCGCTGAAGAAGAACTCCGCCACCTGCCCATCGGAGGAAGTGCTCCTCTCGTACCCACGGCCGAAATCGTAGTGCGTCGAGCCGTCAAAGTTGTGCGAGTAGGAGGATCCGTTCCTGCGGGTTTGGTAAGCACGGGAAGCGGGGGGTATGCTTGGAGTGACGGGGATAGGGGGAGTGGATGGGATGGGATGGGATGGGATGGGAGGAGGAGGGAGGGGGGCCTCACTGGTTCGAATAATCATACCCCTGGTTCCCCTGACTATCAGACCTGGCATACCAGTCGTTCCCCTACAAATCGGGCATACCTCAGCAAGAGGAACAGCACAGGAGGGGAAGGGGGATGGGGATGGGGCGTACTTGGGAATTGGTACCGCTGCTGGTGTAGCTGCAGGAATTGTCAGTTTAGGTTTAGGTTTAGTTAGACATCGTTGTGAAGAGGTGATGAGGACGAGGGTGGGAGGGCGTTGGAGGATGAGGGAGGGAGGGAGGTGAAACGCCCCGTGTCATTATATTACGGCGTGACAACTCAATACATGCGGAGTTATATAAGGGTCACAACGGTGTGCTGAATCGCAAAGTGAATCCTTCAACGTTACCGAGCTCAAGAGAAGACTAGCACGAGTAGACTAGTACTGTCCTACCTTGATGGAACCTGCTGATCACCAGAAGGCTCGAAATGGAGATTTCGTAGCAGGTAGGTAAGGAACGATTCGAAGCGACGCAGTTTCGAACTCGGAGCATGTATGCCTCCTTTCGGTATACATGTAGTGTTACCTGATTCTCGGGGCACGAAGACGATGGGACGAAGTGCTGCCTCACCGGTGGCTGCAATTTTCCTGCCACGGGCATTCGGATTCGGGAAAGTCGCTGACAGGTGCATGTTGTTTGGAGAAACATGATCCTAAGCTGGTGGCTATCTGAAAGGGCTTACTATGCCCTTACGGCCTCAATACATACACGGATCAAATGTATTACTATCTAGTAGCAATACACTACGTGTAGTAAAAGGATAGAGAGAAGGGTGGCCTACAGCCACCCACTACATGTCAGTCCAAGGACGATCATGATCACCTTGCAGAGGCGATCCTACCTAAAAAAGGAAAGTATGGGGTCATATACGGGACCTTACACCCCCCCCCTGTCAAAGAGGAAGGGGTATACGTACTAACAAGCACGGTCATAGCCGTCGCTGTCACCATAGTCGAGGAGGGTTTCATCCTCGATGGCTGTGTCCATATGAGAGGGACCAGCAGCAGGAACAGTATGGTTGTCAGACCATTTCAAGCCTTCGGGTTCGAGACCCAATGGTGGAAGGCCCTCCGCAGGAGGGGGAACTATTGCGGACTGGAAGACTTCTGTCCACCGTGACTTGTCATGTTGGTCTACAAGACTGAGCGCGCGCACACCATTCTCGTCGAGAATGTTGTTGCGGTACGCGCGACCGAGTTCTGCCTTCTGTCGCCTATGACCGAAGTAACCAACCAGGACGTCGATTTTCAATTCATCGAGCCCACTAGTGATGAACTCTTTGGCAACCCCGATGGGGCTCCAAACACGTACACCATCCGCATTGAGGGAGACGGCTTTGTGGAAGCGAGTGGTCATAGACCAATGAGGAACGCTGGCGCAACTGAGCTGATGCTTGTCGATAAACTTGTTGAATTTGAGCTTAGTTCGAAAGAGATTCATCGCAATCTCATAAAAGGCAGCAGCATTGCCTTTTTGCCAGCCTTTAACGTCCGCATGCAGACAGTTATCATGGAGCCAAGTCCACACGTTAAGGTCGGGGATGTAGTATCTCCTGTCCATAGAGCACCTAATACCAGGCCCCTTGTTCAGGTGAGGATTCACCTCTTTGCCCTCCTGCTCCACCATCTTCACGAATCGGGACCAGAGGTTACCCGTCCGTGGAGTGTGAGCCCAGTGGGCATCAGCGGTCTCCATTGAGACCTGCCAGCGGGGAAGATCTGTGTTATGGATTGTGGTCAATTGCTTGGCCATGATGTTTCCCTGCCAGGGATTCATTGGATTGGCTCATGGGATGGGATGGCCCATCTGAGCTACATAAGTAGCTGCACGCTGTGCAGCCACAACTTCCAAGACTCCCATAAGGGGGAATCGCCGGTGCAACACAGCGACGGCAGAAGGACTGTTAGCGTTGAGCTGAGTCGACGCAGAATGAGTAGGAGCTCCAGAGGAGCCAGATGTTGCCGTGGCAGTTGTCCGGGCGAGAGTGAGAGGCAGTCCAGCAGCACTGGACGCAACCGAGCTGTAAGACTTGCTCGGGATGGGGGCACCAGAAGATGCCATTACCGTCGATATAGACGGTACTTTGCGCGGAGGTGCAGAGGTGGGCTCGTCCACAGCGGGACGCTTGCCAAGCAACAGTGGAGGGTTGGGGAGGAGCCGATGCAGGCTCCTTGACGATGGGGTCGTCCATAGGGACGTTGTGATTGTCAGGCGTCTCATGGGAGGATGCCGGCCGCAGTCGCAAAGACATGCTTGCAGCCCCCATGGTAGAGGGCGCACGGGCAGGATCTGTGTGATCCGAAGAGGAGTGGAGATGACCATGAATGTAGTCGTATTCGGAGCGCCAGTTGTCGCGGTCCCGATGGAAATGCTCGGTGTCCAATCTGGCCTGCGATGCCAATTGCTGGGCATTGGAGATCATCTTCATGGCAGTCGAGCAGAGCTGCCTAGTGTTGTCCAGAGTGGACGACAATCTTGCGTTCTCCTCGAGGGAAGGCACGAGGTCTTCTTTGCTCTTTCGAAGAGCATCTTCAAGTCCTTTGACTTGATTGATATGTTCGTGACAGAGGCAGAACAACTCATCAGAGCGGTCTTCGCAGTCCAGTGCGAGACAATCACAAGTCTCTTCTGCAGTCCAGCGATGCAGGCGATCGAAGAGCTGCTCGGTGGAATGAAGAGCCAACCGTGAGTTGGCGTGAGGGTTTCCCACGAGGAGAGGGAAGGGCTCGGAGGCGTAGGCACAAGCGTCACAGTAGAAGGGATCAGTAGATCCCCAGGCGTACTCAGGCGTTTGGGGCCTCGGGAAGCCTTGTGCATCACGTCCGTAAGACGTGCCGCGATCATCCTTTGGGTGGAGGGATACCCCATACGGGACGAGGTAAGGATCTTCGTCGTCATCGACAAATTCTTCTTCATCCTCGTCCCAAGGGATGAGGGCTGACTCCGGAGGATCGGCAGGGTCGCCCCAGCCAGCAGAGGAGTCCCTTCCAGATGAAGTACCCCAGCCAACGAGTGGGCTGCCAGAAGGTTCGCCCCATCCGGTGTGCGAGGATGGGGGGTTGTTCGACAGAACAACGGCAGTAAGATCTGTGCCGTTCAAGGGAATGGCACTGCTAGGTGCGAGGTTGTTCGAGAGAACAACCAGGGCGGTGGGGGCGTCATCCATGGGGATGACTGCAGGAGGGGACGCCGAAGTGCCAGATGGATTATCGTCCGTATGGATGATGCTGGAGGAAGGTGCCAGAGCACCTCCCTGGATGGACTCAGTGGTCCGCAATGAGAGTGTCGGCATGGAATCCACGCCAGCCGGGTATCACTGCCATAGGCAGCGAAGGAGGGGTGGGGACTGCCGGGGAGACAGCCATGGGCGAGACAGTCCTCGGAGACGGTGGGGGAAGCGAGACGACGTCCTCGCAGACTTCCACCTCAGCCGAGGCAGTTGCACCAGACAGTGCAGGGGCAGGCAAAATGCCAGACATGTGCTCTTCGAGCACAACGGAGGGCAAGAGGACGAGATTGAACACGATATACCGTTCATGGGAAGGGGGAAGGTGGTGGGGAGAAGAGAAGAGAGGTGGTCTCTTCTTTGGCCTTCGTGTTGGCCAAACATTTGCGGAATTGCTTACGCTTATGGTGTGCCACTGCGGTTGCGGGGATAGAAGGCCAAAGGCCTTCCATTGTTAGTCACGTGGGCTAACAATGACATTATCCCTGAGGATCCCTTTTTGGGAGATCCTCTGGAGTCTTCACACCTTGAAGCTCCAGATACTCATCCAGTTGGGTGAGTCAGTCTGCCTTACTGGCAGACTCCCACGATTGGTCCCCGTCAGACCAAATAAAGTGGAATTGCAACTTGCATTGCCTCCAACGATGATCATTGATCAACTCGACGATCTGTTTGCCATCCGGTGCATTACCATAAATGGTATCCGGATCTCTTCCTGGGAAGAGTACGTTGTCACCGTGGACATAAGGCCTTAGTAGGCTCGTATGGAACGTCGGGTGTATCCCATGTTTCTTCATGCTCTTGGAGAGAGCTAACAGACAATTGTCTGTATCTGTGACCTTTTCAATACAGAAAGGTCCGATATACCTTGGCAGTAGTTTTACTGCCCGGTTCTTTGGAACTGTCAAGTTACATGTGGAAAGGAAGACCATGATCCAGGCAAAGCCTGTCAACACTTATCAGTGTGATGAGCCTGATTTACTTGAGCTTCAATTATTGCATCTGTTGCAATACATACTGCATATTGTGCACATTGCACAAAACAATCTATGCCCTGGTACTCCGATTTGGAGTGCCTTACAATCTGTGTTATGGACGGAATGTGTCCATAATTCAGTTTGAAAGGACTGAATGTAGTGCTAGTGCTTACACTAGCATTAATCAAATATTCTACCATAGGTAGATGCCCGCACCAGTCAGACTGGTCATCTGCTATGACTGTTCATAGCATTTGTGCGACCAAGTGTATCATCCACTCAGTCATTCCATCCGTTTGAGGATGGAATGAGGTTGACATAAGCAATGTCATACCAAGTTGCTTATGCAATGCCTGCCAGAACATGGCAGTGAACTTAGAGTCTCTGTCTGAGACAATACTATCTGGTACACCATGCAAATGCATGATTTCCCAAGCAAATACTTGTGCAACATCAGCAGAAGAGGATGATGTTGTTAACAATGGTATTAGATGTACCATTGCTGTCAACCAACATGTGACTACTAACAAGTAGTCATATCCCTCTGATAGAGGGAGAGGACCCATAAAGTCCATTGCTATGGAGCTCCAAGGAGCTCCAGGGATAGGGAGGGGATGGAGAATGCTGGAAGGCTTTGCCATGCTATCCTTTGCCATCTGGCAACACAGGCAAGTCCTGCAAATCTTTTTCATGTCTTTAGCAATGGATGACCACCAAAATTGGTGTTGAAGGAAGGCTAGCATCTTCCTATTGCCATAATGGCCAATGCTCATATGAGCATTGGCTATGAGGAGCAATCATATAGATTGCCTGTTGTACTGTCCATTGGGCATGTACAGAGCTATGTCACCTTCTGGGTGATGCATATACAGCACGTTGTCTTTGACAAACCACTGTTTGTTCTTTGGTGCTGGTGCCACTGCCTGCCAGTAGAAGGCATCTGCCATATAGGCATGTTTTATTGCTTGTATCAGAGCAGAATGTCCACGCAGCTGGAAACTCGAGGTTTCTGCTATGTGTGTAGATGAGCCAATGCTTGGTAGTGTTGCCACTTCCCCTGCAGGAGCATGGGTCAGATCCTCAGGCTGTATCCCAGCCTGAACATGTTTGACTCCTGCCTCTGCAGCAGAAGGGGTGATCACCACAGCGTTGGAATGGTCAGAGTGACTGCTGTTGAGTTCAGGACTTTGCTGAACTCTTTGTTTGACTCATCCCTGAGGGACATGCAGTTTCTTGTGCACTGGCAAGGGGGAGTCAGGAACAACTCATTTCCTTGGGGGTACCTTTGTACCCTTGAATCTTGTTGTCATCTGACACACCGCAACTGTCCATTGCAGCTCAGCCAGACAATCTGAGGAGGCATCTTCCATCTCCTTGTCTATCCACATATCTGTGGAGACAGTCTCAGTGGGACTGTCAGAGCATGACATCCAGTCTGCTGACTTATTACATTCTCCAGGTATATGGATAATTCTAATTATGTTAAAGTCCTGCAGGTATTCCTGAGCACATATTACTCTGGCTCCAGCCAGAGTAGCCTTTGATTGAAGGTATTGCAATGGTGTGTGGTCCATGCAAATGGTAATAGGAATGCCCATTAACTGGCTCTCCCACTTGTTGAGAGCTTCCAATACCACCAGCAATTCATGCTGGTAGGTAGGGTACCACAATTGGGCACTCATAAAGCATCTGGAATGGAATCCAGCAGGTTGGACTTTGTCCCACAATGGCCCCTGGCCATAGTAACATCCTACTCTGCTGGTGGATGTGTCTACTATGACAAAGACAGGGATCCCATCTTTGGGATTGATAGGCTTCAGCACTGGATAGTCTGTAGCCAGGCCAAGAATCTTCTTGAAACAAGTTTCATGCATAGGAGTTACATCATAACTCCTATTTTGGTGTGTCAATGAGGACAATGGCCCAGTGTATTTAGCTACATCTGGGAAATATGGTGCCAGATAGGTCACCATGCCAAGGAAGCACTGCATTCCTTTGGCATCCTTCAGGAACTTTGCATTCCAGATGACAGACATCTTGTCATCATCTGCATAGACACCTTTGTCCGTGATCTTGTGTCCAAGACACTTGATGCTGGGAGACAGCAAGTCAACCTTGTCCATGGACAAGTAAAGCTTCTCTTTTCTTAGGATATCAAAAACTATCCTAAGATTTGCAGTGGCTTCACTTAAAGTGGAGCCAATGACAAAGATGTCATCAAGGTAGCAAACTACCTTTCACATCCAGTGCTCACACAGGATGTGCATCATCATGCATTGGAATGACGCAGGGAGGTTGCAATCCCCTTGTTGGCCAACTTGGCTAATGAACGTTCCGAATGGATTTTGGAATGCAGTTTTCCAGACATTGTCTGGGTGCACTTGAAGCATTTTGAACATGTTTTGAAGATCTAATTTAGATATGAATGGGTGTTGGGCCACCCATCTATGGAGCTCATCCTGATCCGGCATCAGTGTAACATCCTTCACCATGTTTGAGTTTCTCTCTCAACAGTCAACAGTTGTTCTGAGTTGACCATTCCATTTCGGAATACACAGCATGGGCAATGCTTGCTGTGTTTGGGCTGGTACCCACCAGTTGGCAGCAACATACCACCAAGTCTTCTCATGAAGCTCATCCCTGAGTACCTCAGGGCAGGCAGGATGATGAGTCCTATACTGTTTTTTATCATCAATCAGGTTGATGTGATGATTAACTTCCCTCAAAGGAGGGAGCTGTTGTGAGATCTCACCTGTGAGATCCTTTATATTGTTGATAAGAGTCTCTCTTATCTTTTGTAACATTTCTTCCCCATAGGAAGACATTGTTTCCCTAGTACCCTTTGGGGTCAGGGGAGTGGATGCTCATGCTGTGAGCACGTGCTTGACCCCAATGTGGTCAGGGTGTTTGACTTCTCTTTTGGAAGTCAGCTTCATCTTTGGGATGCTGTCCTGTATTCCTATGGCTAATGCCTCTCCTGAGGCTATCCATTTCCCCATAGGGCCTCCAATATGGAAGCCTTTCTACTGAGATCTAATAAGATCTCAAACTTCTTGCCAAAAGGCATACCAAGGATCACTTGGTATTTGTCAGTATTGACAACATCAAAGTAGTGTTCCACTACTCTGTTGCCAATGTCAATCTTGGCATTGACACCATACTGAATCACAGTATGACTGCCCCTACTCATCTGTTGTAGGGCAACTGGATTATCCAGTTTAATATATTCCAAGCCATGGGCTCAGACAAAGTCAGCAGAGATTGTATTGATCTCCACACCACTGTCCAGCAGGGCAAATGCAGGGTGCCCAGCAATGCTAATATAGCATTTGATGGGGGACAATGCAGTGCCATCCCAAAGAGGTTGCCCTCTTCCTAGATGGATGGTGCCATCCCTTCACCAGATTTCTGGCTTTACATCCTTTGCAGCTGCAAACTTAGTATGAGCAGATACTGCTCGTACCACCGGTAAGCCAACAGGCTTAATCAACATAACCTGCATGTTAGCAGGTATGATGTTCTCCACTGGGACATCTTCAACATCTTTGATGTTGGTGGACTTGCATATTGGAGGATGATCAAACTCTTCATCCTCCAGGTCATAGGCACCTGTATCATCCTCAGGATGAAGATCCTCAGGTTCATCATCTAGATGAGGTCCCATCAATATGGCATGTATGCCATCATCCTCAAGGATGTATTCTAAACCCTCAATCATTTTGGGTGCTGCAAGATGCACACCTCTTTGTTGAGGGCAAGTATTTGCTCAATGACCGGACTTGTTACAGATGTAACAAGTCAGGTCTCCTCCAGACTGGGGTTGTTTTGACTTATTGTTGACAGGACAAACATTGTCCCTCTTGACTCCCCCAGATGTACCAGGGGTTGGAGGTCTCCTCCTGTAGTTTACAGGATACATCTTTTTCTTGGGAGTTACTCCCTTCTCCACAGGAGCCCCTCTAGAAGGACCACCTCCCAGTTTGGGCATTTCTGGGCGCCTAACCTCATATCATATCAGATGATATGACTGGTTAGGTTGAGGATATGATCTCCTCACAGGTATTGAACTACCTGTTGTTGTCCCTCTATAGGGGGACAATGTTTTAGACATATTCCTATATGCCCATAACCCTTGTGCCATATTGAGTCCTCTCTCAGTCTTAATGGCATGAGTAAACAATGTGTCAAATGTCTTGTTGTCAATGTCATAACCTGACTCAAGCACTTTGGTGCTTATCTCTTTGCTCAATCCAAAGAGGAACCTCCTTTTAATTTGGAAGTCATTAGGATGCTACCCATTATGGACATTAATTTGTCCTTATACACTTCAACAGTGTCTTGTCCTTGTGACAAGCTGTTGAAAGCACCATATGCTTTCAATGTTTCTTCCACTGAGAAGATGTGATTGTATAACCCCCATATCATCTGGGGAAACGTCCATTGATCTCTAGGTGTTTTACCTAGATCAATGTTCTGCTCTACCCAACAGTGAGCATTGTTGGTCACATGTTGACTGGCATAAGTGATTTGCCAATCACTAAAGTCAGGTCTGGTCATTCTGGCCATGCAAAATGCACGTACCAGCATCGCGAGAAATTCTATGAATTTCTCTACATCTGATTCACCTCCATAGGAGGTGTCCAAAGCCTTAGGCTTCAATCCTGTCTTAGAAGATGGAATATGATTATTTACAGGCATCCTAGATGTCTGTAACCATCTTTCTACCCTCCACATAGGAGTGGTGGGAATTATCAATCCTCTGAGGAGATCATCTTTGCTCCTAAACATAGGAGTGCTGTAAGGTCCATGAGTAGTGGACCTTTGGTTTGAACGTGTGGAACCATTGGGGAGGTCCCCAAATGGGACCTTCTGTGTGTATGGACCCTCTTGGTCCAAATCAAAATGAACATTTGGAGAGGGCTCTTTCCTTGTCTCCATACTGGGAGGGGTGGGAGGGACTCTTAGCAGAGTCTCTTCAAACTCTGTAGTATCCTTTAAGGATAATCTTTCAGGATCTGCTTTGGATCCTTCTTCCCCAGAAGGGATTCACAAATGTGGTGAGTTAGGCAATGTCTGCAATCCCATCCCAGATTGGGAGAGACTTGGTTGTGGCCTGAAGCCATATGCCACATCTGCAATATGGAGACTCAACATCTCCCATGCCATCTCTGTGTACCTCTGTATGCATTCCAGGTTCTGGCTAGCCATAGCCAGAGTATTTAGCTCCGCAATTAAGTGTTGTGAAGAGTCTGTGATGTCAAGCATCCAACTCAAATCTGCACAAGGGTCTAATTGATCCCCTGTTTCAATCGGACCAGTTACTATTGCTTCTATTTGAAGCACCATTGGCTGAGGAATCCACATCCAATAGCATATTGGAATCCTCAGTTTCCATTTGCTCTCTTTGAGCAGGAGCAGCAAGATCAGTACTTTGATCTCCTGGCACGGGTTCCTGTTGCCCAAAAACCCATTCTGAACTGTTTCCAAGTTCAGAAAAGCTTGAAGAGCCTGGTACAGTTGTGGGAGTAACAACAACTCCAGGTCCTGAGCTGCCTTTAGGACCGACCTTGGTCTTTCTACTGGGTGGAAGGCATCCCGCCATTTTTTTAGCTGGTCTCAGTAATACAGAGACTAGAACCTGACATGGAGCACTTTTTACTCTACTCCTTTATAAACTCCACTTGTTGGAGTCATGTAAAACAGTGAAAGGGCTTACTATGCCCTTACAGCCTCAATACATACACAGATCAAATGTATTACTATCTAGTGTAGTAAAAGGATAGAGAGAAGGGTGGCCTACAGCCACCTGCTACATGTCAGTCCAAGGACGATCATGATCACCTCTGCGAGGCAATCCTACCTAAAAAAGGAAAGTATGGGGTCATATACAGACCCTTACACTATCATGCACCTCCAAGTGCAGACTGTGCAGTTCTTGTCCCATTTGGCATTGTCATCTTGATAGGTCTGCAATACAAGAGTATATCTCACTGCGGGCATACAGTTGAGTGGATGTAGGGGTGTTCACAATGCTGTGGGTATAAGAACAGGCCAATCTTGAGCAGTGCTGGTTGGGAGGGGATCATTGGACAGACCTCACTTTGGGCAGTTTCAGGCATAAGTATGACACGGAAATTTATAGTATTCTGCTTTCCATAGAGGCATGCATAGTTCTGAGCTGAATGATAATATCATTGTCATCATGCTGGATGAGGTTGACAGTACAGGTAGCCACAGTCCATAACCTGCCTTGCCATCACGGCATCTGCACCGCCACATGCCGACGCTCCGGCGGACGCCGCGTGGGTGCAACTTTTGTGAGCGGACCGTAAGGGACCTGTTGGAGTGAGCGCTGGACTTGTTCTTCCTTTTTCCCTCTCCTTCACCTTGTACAACAGTAAGTATATGCGTTGAATTTCGGTGAAAATACGATACTGACAACGGGGTGGTCTAGTGGTTGCTCATACAGAGTACTACGAGTTGCTTGGGATATCTGTAGAAGCCAGAGATGGTACGCAACCTGCTGACCACATATTCCTGGTGAAACTGACAAGTCAATCGTGCGCATTCACAGACGAGATAAAACGCGCATACAAAAAACGGGCCATGTCCCTACACCCGGACAAGAACCCCTCTCCCTCCGCACACTCAGACTTCCAAGACCTGCAATCCGCTTATGCCGTCCTCTCCGACCCACAACGACGTGCTGCCTATGACAGGTATGGACCTGATGCCGGTCCTGGTTCATCTGGTGCAGGAGGGGCAGGGATGAGTCCGGACGACCTGTTCAGCCAGATGTTCTCCGGGTTTGGATTCAACATGAGTGGTGCAGATGGGGAAAACGGATTTGGGTTCTCCTTTGGTGGGAGATCTGGCAGTGGAACTGGCAGGACGGACGAAGAGATCGATTATGAAGTTACGCTCGAGGACGTTTACTGCGGAAAAGAAGTGACGATGACTGTCGAACGAACAAGAAGCTGCGTGCCTTGTAAAGGTTCTGGAGGACGAACAGGCGCGACCCCCAAAACGTGCGTCACCTGTGAGGGGAAAGGGAAGGTGTCTGTTCTTCGACCAGTTCGTGATTTCATCTGTATTGGGGAGGTCATATCTCATTTGCTTCAGATGGGGCCCATGATGGCTCGCACGGTCGTACCATGTGAAGACTGTTCCGGCCTCGGCAAGAAATTCCGCGAGAAAGACCGATGCAAAAAGTGTCATGGACGTCGAGTGACAAAAGAAAAGAAGCGGCTCGTGACACACGTCGAGCGTGGAAGTCGTGACGGACAACGAATCGTTTTGCATGGCGAGGGTGATCAGGCAGCAGGCCAGGAAAGGCCAGGGGATGTTATTCTTCGCTTGCACCTAAAGCCACACGAGACATTCGAGCAGCACGGACTGCATCTGCTTACGACGGTCCACATCACCCTTAGCGAGGCGCTGCTAGGGTTCGAAAGAGTTGTCTTGACGCACCTGGATGGCAGGGGGATCCGGCTCCAGAGTCCACCAGGAAAGGCCATCGCTAGCCAAAGCGTGTTCCGCGTTGAGGGCGAGGGTATGCCTGCCTACCGCAAGCCTGAGCACAAAGGGAACCTCTTCGTCCTCTTCGAGATCGAGATGCCCAGCCCGGATTTCCTTGCTTCCATTGATCGTCGAGCGCTGGAACGACTCCTGCCTCCGAGGAAAAAAGAGATCGTACCCGAGGGAGGGGTGGTCGACGAGGTACAGATGGAGGAGAGCGGGATGGAGGAATTTGTGGAGGATGAGGATGATTGGGAGGACGAGCAAGAGGAGGAGGAGGAGGAGGAGTTTGCCCATGGCGGCAGACCAGAATGCGCACACCAGTGAGAGACCGAATTGGCGTAAGCAACAGTGGATAGATGCGGTTTTTTTTCCCTTGGTGTTGATAATGGCCTCGTCCTTCTCGGCTCCCTTGTTGCTTGCATTACGCGCAACTCTTTTGCTTAAACTACATATCACTGACACGACCGTAATGACGATAGCTAATGCTGTAACCCCTGAACTCTTGCCCGCGTCGCCCGTCCAGAAAGACTCCACGATATCATCAACCCCCACCACATTCGACCGGCATCCCACTCATGAACATGATAACATGATATAGTTACATTGATGATGACTCTTGCCTGTTCGTGTTTCGAACTCCTTATATGGAAAGAGGCTGTGCGCAAGAAACATGATGATGATAATAAGAGCCGAGACAAGACAGTTTATTTATACAGCGCTATACATACAACGTTAACTACAAGAGTACGAATGGATTAGGCAGGAGTAGACAAAGGCCGCGGAATACCATTCTGTGTCGGCGGCGCCAGAACAGAGGGTGATGTACTGATCAATGGTGTGCTACTCGTCGTCTGGGCAGTGCTCGCCGAGGCCGTGCTGGCCTCAGTTGTGTTAGACTTTATCTCCTCTTCGGCATTGCTGATCTTTTCCCGAAGTCGGGCAGCCTTGCTTTCATACCGCTTGCTATTCTCGTCCTTTTCCCGTTCGCGAGCCTCGATTTCCAGCCGGAGAAGTCGGAGATGCTCGTCATCTAATCTCGAGCGTTCTTCCGCTTCTCGAGTTAGTCGGTCGAGTGAGGCGGACAGGTAGGCCTTCTCGTTGATAAAGTAAGTTCGGCGGATATCTGCTACAGTGCGGACGGGTGCTAGAGGCTGGTAGGAGGCAACGAACTGTGGTCGCAAGGGCAGAGGAGGACGCCAAGGCCGACGAACGGTAGCTTCAGCAGGCGCATGCCGTGGTACACCGCCTTTCGCTGCTAGGGCCTGACCTCGGCCTGTGCGTGCAGGACGGGGTGAGGCGCGGGAAGAGGAGGCATCTGATTCGGGAACTTCTTCGGCGTATTTCTTGGAGAGGGGCACGCGGAGGGAACGGCGAACTGCACCTACGGCTGTATTTGAAGGAGAGGGAGGAAGAAGTATGTCAGTGATTTTCTCAAGAAAATTAGGGATGCGGAAGCAACTTACGCCCGGTGTCTTGATCAACAGATTCTACGTGTTCTTTACGTGCGGCTCCCGCAACAGAGGAGTATTTTCCGTCTGGAGCAGCGAGGTACTCGTCCAACGGCTGCAATCTGTCCGTAGTTAAGAAAAGAACAAAAATAATAGAATGGAGACCATACTTATACAGTTTATTTCGGACTGAGACCAAGAGGCTCTTCTGCACCGCAACATCGTCCATGTCGTACTCTGGGTCACCTTCAAACAGCGCCCGTGTCACTTCGCGTATAGCATCAGTTTTAGACAGTGGTGCTTTCCCGCGTGCTGTTCCAGATGGGTCGATAGATGTCAGTGCGCCGCGAGCGATGGAAGATGCCCAATCAGGGTTGGCACGGATAGAGGAAAGCAAGCGGTTGACAAGTGCGTCGTCCCACCTTTTTTCCAGATATTTTTGGTTAGGGCACAAAATGAGAATATTGGGAGGGAAATCGGTACCTGACAGACTGGATTCTCCATTTAGGATCTCCGGATGAGAGAGATTTATCGCCTGCATCCTCCCCTGCTGAAGGGGGGCTGCTAAGGTCAGGCCGCGTAGGCCCGCTCCCGTTCATATCAATGTCTGTAGTCATGTATGGTATCTTCACCCGGAAATTGGAGTCAAATCACCCGCAGATAGGAGGTAAGCAAGTGTTGAGGAAAAAAAGCAAGAATGTGTAGGATAGGGAAGAAGAGAGAGAGGCGCGCAGTGGGAAGATGCTAAGGGAACGGAAAGAGAGGGGAGGGGCGGTTTTTCTTCCTTGTTGACTGTCAGCCCTTGTCATGCGCTAATGGGGATTTGGTTCCGTGCGGTGAGGTGACAGCATTCCACGGACGAACCGTCTCCGATTGCGACCGAACAATTATTCGAGGAGGGTCTACAACGCACGGAGGACGTGAGAAAAGTAACCGGGAAAGTCAAGGCGGAATACCCCGAAATGCGGAAGTGTTGCCGAGGCCGGGATGGGCGGCGGTGCCGGGAGGGGTAACGTGATTGTGTGACACGTCGGAGTGATGGGATGTTGTTTCTACTCTGTCGGTAACCCTCTGAACATCATATTGCAATGTAAATAATCGGCGTTGGGATATGTAGATATGCCAAACTACATTCATATGAATAAGGAGACCGATTGTTCTGCACTAGAACGACTATTTCTTGCATGTTTGGGAATTGATCGAATGGAAGTTCTGTCGAATCACTCTACGAAAACAGGGTAACTTGTTTCAACACTTGATAGTGGAAATACTGCCATGCTTCTCATGGACTTTCCTTCTAGAAAAAAATGATTGACATGTGCTGGTGATGGAGGTGCCAAAATGGCGGAATGAATGATCACGTGGCACATTTTGCGGACCCTGTGATGGTTGACTTTTTTTCTGTGCAACGGGCGCTTCTTTATTAGAGCTCTGACAATGGCGGTCTCGATGACTCGCCTATTCCTTTTCACCTCGTGTCCTTCGCAGCTTCTGCTTCACTCTTTATCCCGGTCATGGTTGCATACTGCATCTCCATGTTTGGCCCAGTCGAAAATGAACCGTACTGTACGATTGGCACGGGAAGCTGGCGGTGGTCAAAGTGCGTCCTTTTCTCTGTTGAATGAAGGAGTAGCTAACTGATCACCTGTCTCCGAACAAAGCACGATATAAAGGACGTCCTTTAAGAGGGCAAAATTCGCCTGAAGGCAGTACCTCGCGAGCCCCCAGAGGATCTCGCACTCCACCTTCTTCCTCTCGCTTTCCACGCAAATCCGATTCCTCTAGGTCGGACCGCAGGCCAGAATCCCGTCTCTCTCCCCATTCAGGCTCAACTCCCTCTGGTTCGGACCGTAATCTCTCCCGATTGCCTCGTCGCACTTCTGAGGGATCAGACCGCAACCTATCTCGCTTCCCTCGTCGCACGCCAGAATCGGATGACAAGTTTCGCCGTGTCTATGAGAAGAACATGTATTCTCGGACGAAGGTCGGGCATTCGAGAGTGTATGTCAACCGAGAGGTGAAGGATAAGATGTACGGTAGAACGACCAAGGCAAGGGAGGTCGAGTCGGATACCCAGGAACGGAGATCGCGGAAGTGGGAAGAGGGAGGCTCAAGGGAACGAGCAAGGGGCAGGGAGATCGATTCGGGCAACCTGGAGCGGAGATCCGGAAGGAGAGACGTGGGAGCTTCTAGGGAACGAGGTGATCATTCGAGGGGCAGGGAGGCTACGATGGATACCCAGGAGCGAAGACTAGGGAGCAAGGAAGAATACAGAGAGCGACGGGAGAGGCGAAGGAACAGAGAAGATGAGGACGCTGCTCTGCCTACCGCCGGACCAGCAGATACCAAAGTGCGACCTTTTACAGCCTATTCACCGCCTCTATCTCCCGGACTCTTGCAATCCGTCACTGAGCTACTCGGTACCAACCCGCCATCCCCGATCCAGACCTTGTCACTCAACTACTTCTTCCCTCAAAACCGCAAGTCGAACCCACGTACGAAAAAGAGTAGCGAGACCCTTCTCGGAGCGGAGACGGGTTCAGGGAAAACGCTTGCATACCTGTTGCCCGTGTTGCAGAGCTTGAAGGAGACGGAACAGACCGAGGACAAGGGTGATGGCAAACAAAGGTTCAACTCTCCCCGCGCACTCATCCTTGCTCCAACACACGAGCTGTGCCGCCAGCTCGCGGCGAGCGTCAAACAGCTTACGCATATAGACAAGCTCCGCACGGTCTGTTTCTCCAACCCGATCCCCAAGGGTCGCAAGCGGGCGACCGCTAACGATGAGTCGTTGTACGACGAGGATGTCACGCCCGAAGACTACGAGGCGCAGCATGGATTCCTCAGACCCGCAGACGTGGTCGTTGGTACACCGAGCAAGATGTTGGAAATGTTTAGGCTGAGTGATTCTGTTGAGGAGAAGCTGGACGAACAGGGTGAAGTTGTCATCAAAGCTGATTATGGAGAGAGTAAGGGGCTCGACAGGGTACAATGGGTCGTCGTCGACGAGGCGGATGTGTCATTTGGTAAGTTTGGTATGAGCGTGTAGGATGGTGCTGATAGAGCTTGTAGGAAAGAACTTCAGACCCGCAACGAGGGCCCTGTTACATTTTGTCAGGGAGGCTAGGTTGAAAGCCCTCGGACGAAGCAAAGCACCTGATAAAGAACCTGTCCCCCAAGACGAGATCACTACACCAGAAGTGCAGGTCATAGAGGCAGAGTCAGCAGAGAAGGAATATACGAATGTCACGCCAACAGTGACAGATGTTCCACCTCCTGTATCAACCGAGGACACTTCAGCTGCTCCTGCAGAGAAGCCTACGACGACCACCAAGGTTGACCCTACCAAAGCATTCACTGCCCCGCCCTTCAACCTCGTTCTCTCCACTGCAACGGTTTCCTCTTCGCTCGGGACGCAGCTGGCCGTCTACCACCCTCGAATGATCCAGCTGCTCTCTCCCAACCTGCACAAGCTGCCCGCGACGCTCAGAACAGAACATGTCTCCTGGTCCGGCGGCAACCGCACCGCCGATGTCGCGGCCAAGATCTTCTCTATCTGGACGCAGGAAGCGCGTGCCATGCGGCTTGAGACGGGGAAACGGTACACCTCTATGGACAGGAGCAAGATCCTTATTTTCTGCAACACAGCTTCCCATGCTGAAAAGCTGGGGCGCGAGCTAGGGGAGAAGAGCATCTCGACCTTTGTACTTACGAGCGAGAGCACGTTGCGCAGACACGGGAGCAACAAGCACCTTGAAGGCTTCTTGAAAGTCGCCGACAAGGCGGGGGATCAGGGGAAGATTGAAGCGCAAGCGAAGCAGACGTGGAAAGAACAGGACTTGGAGGACAAGCAGCCCGTCGTGCCCACCGCGGTGCTCATCACCACGTCGCTCCTTTCCCGAGGGTTGGACTTTGCCCCTAGCGTGAAGAATGTGCTTATCATGGACGAACCGCAGAACATGGTCGACTTCGTGCACCGAGCTGGGCGGACAGGGCGTGCGGGTGCGGAGGGCAAAGTCATTTTATTCGGTAAGGGGGGCAAGAGGTCGGAGTCATCATATCTTCAGGAGTTGAGGACCCGGGCCAAGACACTCAGGGCATAGCATATCTCCCCATTACGGTTTTCCACATCTGCTCTTCGGGTTAGAAGCACACATCACACCAGTCATATTGCATAATGATACAGCATCCACATAATCGTAATGAAAATGACCTGTCTACATCTATGTATGAACCGACACGGCCTCAACAGCTTGGGCATATCCCACCCTGACACCCCCAGCACGTCACCGCCCCAATCCCAAGCGTCTTGAATACAAGCGTTAGGACGCTCATCGTTCCCTCGCCCAATACAAACCCGCTAGCGACAATAATGAGCCATATGCCCTCATGTCCCTTCCCCACGCGTCGATAGTACATATACTCGATAATGCCGCCAATGAGACGGGCAATCGAAAAGCTCGGCGTGTTCAGAAAGCCAATGGCGAACGCGACTCCTGAAGGGACCCATTTGGCCCACGAGTACCCGCGCCGTTGAGCGTAGACCTTCACGCTAGCGACTGCAATTGCCAGCCCTGCAGAGGCGAGCATGAACACTCCGCTCTTGGGTGGGAGGCTGCCGTCCCTCAACAGTCGGGCGAGTGAGAGCCAAACATAGGCTGTCGGGGCAGGGAAGGAAGGCCCGGGGATGGGGTATGCACGCTTGTAGAGGTCGTACGCGCCAACAGTGACGAATATGCTCAAGAGGGAACCTAGGAGCTGGGAATAGAGTTGCGCGCGGGGAGCGGTGTGCAAAAGGTGCCCGGTTTTCAGGTCTTGCATCAGGTCCCCCGCTCTGAGAGATGCATCAGAATACCTGAACGCGCTTTTAGTGCAAGGGACAGGGAACTCACTGCTGTGCCCCAGCTTCGGCCACACCGCCGGCGATGATATTGGCAACGACATTCCCAGGCTGGAGGACAGCGAACAAGAGCTGGCTGATCTTCCCCAGCCCGGAGACGGGGTTGAGGTCCGTCTCCCCCAGGGCTCGGACACTGCGATATGGTCAGCGTCACATTGGTCCGTGGGTGTGAGACTCACCCGAGGACACTCAACACTCCTCCCATGAGGAACCCTACAGCGACGGCCCAAATCTTCCCTCCCTCATCTCTAAACACCGCCCACACGCCGCCCACCCCCAGGAGGGCCGTCAGGCCCAATCCCCAAGCCCACCACTTAGTAGGAACGAGTCTCTCCTCGTCTTCGTCTTCCGCAGGCTTCTGACGATGCGGGAGGAGGAGCAAAATGGCTTCCCACACCACTGGTAAGAGGGAGACAACAGACTCAGCACACATGATTGATAGAGAGACCCAGAGGATCCACCCTCGAGAACCGGTTTGCATGTCCCCTACTGGACCGGGGGCCCAGCCTTGATAATGTGCGAGGGGGGAAAGGATTGCCCAGCCTGTGAGCATGCCGAGATTCATAGAGAGTGTTATGGGGAATCCCATTATTATGCCTTCAGAAAATTAGTACTGGGCGTAAAGGATTGAGGGGGACATGCCTTGACCAACATAACTCAAACTAGGGCTGAACCACCAAAGCCAGTCACTCGCGAGCCCCGAGTAGAAAATATCAAACACAGGGATAAAGAACAGCACCGGAAGAAAGTATGCGCCAAGAGTGAGGACAGCACTGGCGAGGAAGGACCAGGCGAGGGCACGCCAGCCTTCGGAGGCGGAGCGCTTGAGCTCGGAGCGGGAAAGGAGGGCGTCGGCCTCTTCTGCTTCTTCCGCTGAAGGTTGGGTGGAGGGAGGAAGTCGTTCAGGGTCATCAGCGGAAAGAGCGGTATACTCCCCCGATTGGGGCTGTGAGCGGGGATGGCGATGTCGGAGGGAAGGCGGGGTCTCGTTATGCATCACCGATATGAGCTGGGCAGTCGCTGTCCCCGAAGGGAATGGTAGGTTCTCCTTGATGATCTACCCCAGATCTTCAAATCAGGTATAGCTCCCTCGATAATATAAAACTGGCGCACCACTTGTTTCCTCAAGGGAGCGGCAAGAAACACCCCAAAGAAGGCGACTGCGCTCGCCCATCCTATGCCCTGCCAGAAACCGAGAATGAGAGGCCCCTGCCCGTCTTCCTCAACATTCAACAGCCCCAGAGCGGGTATAATGCCCACAAATCCCGCAGCGAGGGGCATTGTCCCCGTAGCCACAGCCACGGTTTGTAGTATCACATTCTCCTGTGCGGTGAACTTGGGCAGCTTTGGAAATCCAGGAGCGAGGGAAAGGAGATAACCCAAGAGGGCAGATTGGAGGGACATCATGCTGATCCATCCCGTTTGGAGACCGAAATAGAGGTTGGTGAAGCAAAGAAGGCAACCGATTAAGAGACCAGGGATGATGGCGCGCAGGGTAAATTCTGGCTGCGGCTTTTCGGTCACGTTGGGATCGGTGGAAACGTCCAAGGAGCTCTCGGGCCTAATTACAGTCAATGAGGTACATAGCAAGTAATAATCAAAAACATACCCCGATGTGATGGTCATCTCGTAGCTTACCACCGTTTTCTATTCTATGGTGCAAATTACAGAGAGTATTCAAGAGAAATGAACGCAGATATCAGTGCATGGATTTGGTCGAGGAGGAGGTTGCGTGTGCACTCGAAGGATTCGGACCGGGTAAACGCTGACTAAGCAGTCCCTTATATGGGCGCCTCCTGCGATCATCACTCCACATGACTTGACTACCACCTTCTTGGAGTCTCACGCTCGTTCACCATCTCAAACTCTGTGACAGCACCAGATGCCTCCAAAACGCTCCAATGACCGTAAACAATGTACGTCCCACCTCCCTCTTTCCAATTCCAATATCACCTAATCTCCTGCAGCCTCCCGCTCCTCAGCACAATATACCATCGATCAAGTGCTCCGGCGTCACAGACGCTACCTAGATGAACTTGAGCGAGCAAATTATCACCGCTTAGCCTCAGACGGAGCTGCGGAGGATAAGGAACGGTTAGCTGTTACGGAGGCTAAGCGTGGGGAGAGGAAGAAAAGTACTCAGGCTGTGAGGGGTTTGTTGCTCTATCGAAAGAACCTGCAGACTTTGATCGACGAATCCGTAAGCTTTTCTTTCTTTCTTCTTCTATTCGATGTACTGATAGTGCATCAGGGGATAAAAGACCTCCCGCAGGGAACGCCGTCTTACCTCACCGTTGCTACACCAGCACCAGTAGAGCCGGCAAAGAGGTTCTGTATTTCCTGTGGCTATTGGGGGGCATATCGCTGCCAGAAGTGTGGAGAAGATTACTGTTCCAAGAAGTGTGGGGAGTGGCATGACGAGTTTCGGTGTGGGAAACTTTGAGTTTTGGAAAGGTGGATGCGCATACTCCCTCATTGGACGGACACGTCGAATTTCGCCATTCGCCGGTGCACGATAATCTTGCATGTTTGGCGAACAGCACCGCTATCGACCCTTCGAGAACGTTGAATCTTGTGCTCGCCATGCACCATGACACCTTGATCGTACTCCGTCGACGCATCTTCTATTCTGGACGCAATGGCTGTCGACCAGCGAACGGTTTTACAGGAGTGAACATCCATGGGTGGGTAGCGGCCGCTCGGTACTTGATTCAGAGCACACTTTGCAGGTATAGTACGCAAGCACTGCTTGATCAGCATACATGGCTTGCATTTTATGTTACAGTAATACAACGACTCTGTGTATTCAATTAAAACTAGTCACCTGCAGATTCAAAGGGCCTGATGTCATCGACAATTTAGCAAGACGATGTCGCTTCCTCAAGCTCTTGTAGATCAGGGCGCGCCAATCACCCAATCAGTTGTTGGGTAACCAAAATTACATTGTGTGTGGTATCAAACAAGAACAATGTTATCAAATGCTATTGTCCATGTTATAAGAGAAGGCAAAAGGTTTGTCCGACTCTACCCAAAGAACCAGTACTTAGCAGCGTACGGCACCTCGAGGTTCTTGCCCTCCGTCGCGCAAGTGGCTGGGGGCTGACCACCAGCAGTCTGCTCGCGTACAAGGAACTTTGCTGCATCTCCAGCCACAGCCTGAAGCTGGAGCCAGTCAACATTAGTCTGGGGGTTAACAGGAGCAGGAAGATCCTGCAGCTTCTTGCCGATTGCGAACCCACCCTTTGAGACGGCGAAGTTGAACACCGGTGCAAGGGAGCCCGAGGACGTGTCAAAGTAGTGGTCGGCGAGCTTGAAACCACCCATCGTTGCTAGCTTTGCGGCGAAGGGGCCTACACTTGGCAGTGCGAGTTCGAGCTCGTTTATGCCTGAAGAGAGGAGGGAGGAGATGACGGAGAGGTTCTCGATACAGGAGATGTCGAATACTTGTGCAAGGGCACCGACGTTGACGTATTTGCCACTTTGGCAGCTATAATTCTGTACCGAGTCAGCAGGCCCATCACTCTGTTTTGCAGATAGAACGTACTTGAGTGCCGAACCCGATGGTGACTTGGATGAGGGAGGCATTAGACGGCGGGACAAGAACAGTCAGGTTTTGGAGACCATTGCTGTCCGTGACGAGGGAGTTTGCGAGGACGATAGAGGAGATGTTGCAGTGCGGCTGGGTGCCATGACCGGAAAATGCAGAGACAGCGGAGAGGCCAGCGAGCGCAAATGCAGCGAGCTTGAAAATGCAATGCATGGTGGATTAGAGGGAGGAGATTATCGTAAGGTAAGGTGGCCTGAGGGTAAACCGGAGGTTCGTAATGCATTGACGCCTGAATCTCCGGGTTCATATAGCAATGCTTTTGTTCCATGTTCAGAACGCGTGGTCGGGGAGGAGCCAGAAAATAGACATTTTTAGCACCGCCCAACACCCCCTGGCCGGCGCTTAAGGGCGGCTGAGTGGCTGTTCTCTCAGGGTCCGTCACCTGAAAGAATAAATTGAATCAAATAGTTTATTTGTCATCTTTGTTTCCGTCTTCTCACCTGATGTTTCCCATGTACAGCCATTTGTTGCCTCTGGCAACCACAACTCCCCGCCCGTTGCTCAGTTGAACAGCTATGGAATCACCAGCTGTGATCTCCGAGGAAATATTGGCCGCTCCGGCAGCCTGGCTGTGACCTTCAGAGACACTAGCTCTGCTGAACTCCCGCTTGCAAGGCCGCTTCGCCGTATATAAGGAGATGCTGCTGCGAGCAACAAACTCATCATCCGGGCTCAGCTCACCAGCGCTACTCAGGCTACCTTCTACCTTATACTCCTCCTAATCTACTTTATTCTCCCAACTAATTCTAATCGACCATGTACGGTTTCACCAAGCTCGCCGCCGCCGCTCTCGCCGCCCTTCCTCTCGCGTCTGCACTCCCTCTCTTGACGCCTCTGGCAGCTTTTCATACGCTTGCCATTAGCTCGGGTCTTGCACCTGGCCAGGGTCAAGCCCCGAAGTGCAATATCACCCAAGCGAACCTCGCTGCCGATCTCCCGGCAAACCTGATCTCCCTGCTCCCCCCTTCGGATGCCACCCTTTCCCAAGTCACGATCGGCTTCGGCACGCAGAACTACACCTGCACGAACGGTAAATTTGTCAATGTCGGCGCCCTGGCCCAAGTGTTCGATATCTCCTGCGTCCAGGAACTGCCAGCTATCAGCGCAAGCATCTCCGCTGTGATCAACGAGATCCAGGGACTGAACGGGGGCATCGCACTTGAGGAGATGCTGGCGAAGATGGCCCAGTGGGCAGGATTCAAGCTCGCTGATCACTACTTCGACACTTCCAGCGGCAGCCTCGCGCCGGTCTTCAACTTCCAGGTGTCCGGAGGCGACTTCGTCATTGGCAAGAAAGTGCTGGACATTGCCGACCCCTTCAACCCCGTTGTCAACGTCGACTGGCTCCAGCTTTCCGCTCTTGCTGGTGACGCGGCCAAGTTCCTCGTGCGCGAACAGACTGCCGGTGGTCAGGCCCCAGCTACATGCACGGTCGAGAACGAGACCCTCCAGGTGCCTTATGCTGCCAAGTACTGGTTCTTCGCTTAAATGCCCCTCTTTTTACGGACTACACCCACTTCATTCACTTCTGCACGGACTATTACATTATATTCGCATATTTTGCACTTGATACCCTAGCCTTGTATAATATGCACCTTACGTAATCAATGCTGTATCCATAGCACAATCGCTTGGCCGATCATGTCCTCTGAAAAGACTGCTCATGCCTTTGAAAGGCCGTAACATCACCTAGAATGTCCGATAAAGGGATACGTCCTCTGTCACCAATACCACAAACAAGAATGGCCACGACCCAAGTTTACCAGCGAAATTATGATCTGTTTGTACTCGCAATCGGTCGCTGCAATTTTGTTAAGCAACTTATCCTACGTCGTTGTGCGCTACTGTCTCATAGGCCCACTGACAGTGAATCAACACCAACAGAGGTCGTAACGTCAATGCATTCAGTACCGTAGGCTACAATTGAGTCCATTGCGTGTTAAGTTACAAATATAGTTCTGGCATGACGAATTATAAAATTATAATGCTCCTTAATAGTCCATGATTGTCCTTGTGGTAATCTACGCGAAGAACCAGTACTTGGCGGCATAAGGCACCTGGAGTGTCTCGTCCTCGATCGAGCAGGTGGCAGGAGGTGAGAAATCTTCCAGGATGCCCTCACGCGTCGTGCAGATGTCTATATTGCTCTTTATGTCCGGTGTCATCTACCATGCCCTCAGTGAGGGATGCGTCATCGCGCGTCAACAGAGGACACGTACACACTTCATTCGCCATGGCCAACACTATCTTCATTGGGAAAGAATTTGCCTCGCTTGATGATGCTCAAAATGCTCTCATAGGCTTCTCCAACAGCCAGGCAGCAACCCACCGCGTTAGCAAGAGTGATAAGAGTCGGCTGATTGTGAAGTGCAGGGTGGAGAGCTGTGGATTCTATGCGTCGGTTGGGGGCAAAGACGGGGTCTTCCGTGTACACAATCTTGAAGCCAATCATACTTGTCAGACACATGCTATCAAGCCTCGTGCAGCTACAAGTCGAACTCAGCTCCTTGTTGCCGAGTTGAAGAAGATCATGCCTGTTGATGGCCGAGTCAAGACGTCAACCATGATGGACACCCTTCGATGGCATAACATCAGTGTTAAGCCTCAGCAAGCCTATCGAGCAAAGCGGCAGATTATTGGCAATCACGTCGAGAATCAGCTGAAGGAATTCCAAACCCTCCCAGCTTATGCAGCGCGTCTTGCAGCTTGCGACCCCGGAGCAACGATCAAGATTTCACTCGACTCAAAGCATGCCTTCACGTGCTTGTTCATATGCTTGGCTGCTGCAAAGAGTGCATGGTGTTCTGTCCATCACTTTTTCGCAGTGGATGGTGCATTCACGAAGACATGTCCTTCTCATGGCGGTTACACATGATGCGGAAGACAAGCTGCTTGTCCTAGCGTGGGCTATTGCACGACAAGAAGATACCCGGACGTGGTCCTCATTCCTCCAATCACTCAAGGAATCTCTCAACGGGCTCGATAGCCCAACAACCACAATCATATCCGATCGGCAGAAGGGCTTGCTCAAAGCCATCTCGGATGAACTTCCGCTCGGTGAACAAGCATTCTGCGTCAAGCACATCATTACGAATGCAGTCCGACACTTTGACAAACCAGTTGAAGATCACGTCTGGAACCTTGCCAAAGTGCCAACTGAGAAGGAATTCAACAAACACTTAGACGCAGTCCACAATGATCAGAACGTCAAACCCGCGGCAGCACCTTATCTCGCAGTCATCGAACGAGCTGCATGGGCAAGCTATGCATTTATCGAGCCACGCTTTGGTCGACTCACATCAAATGCAGCGGAAGTCATGAATAATGTCTTCCGTGAAACTCGTGAATTACCGGTGCTTGAACTCCTCGACTACATATGGTGTCATCAGATGGCACACCATTACAAGCGCCAGACGTATGCTCTCACTCTGCCATCAACCGATTCCGATTACGTAGCGAAGCACCTCAAGGTCTTCACCGACAATTGTGTTGCTGCCTGGACTTTTAAAGTGACACCATCGGTTCATCTACAAGCTCTTGTCGAAGGACCAGGCGGAGACAAGTACGACGTGATGTTGGATCCAGAATTGAAGGGGGGAATGTGTTCGTGCCGGTTCTTCCAGCAGTACCTTGTACCATGTGCACATGCAATTGCCGCTTGCTATGAATTCAATCAAGCGCCCGGCAAGTACTTTGACAAGTGCTACCTCAACTCAACGCTGCAAGAAGCCTACCAAGTTCCATACCCGATGGTCTTGCTATCTGAGCTAGATCTGGACACCGCACTTGATCCACCTCAGCGAAAGATGCACCGTGGTCGTCCAGCAACTGTGAGGAAAGAGCCAGGAGCAGGTCCCCCTAGACAGACAATGTAATTAGATACATTCTGTGCGCAAGGAATGAAGGGCATTGTGGACGACGCCGGACGAAAAGGGCATTAGAGACGTTTTGCGCGACGCGCGAGGGCATCCTGGAAGATTTCTCGCAGGAGGTTGACCTCCGGCGGTTTGCTCACGAACAACGAACTTGGCAGCATCACCAGCGACAGCCGTGAGCAGGAGCCAGTCGACGTTGGCACTCGAGTTGATGGGGCCAGGGAGGTTCAGCAGCTTCTTGCCTGTGACGAAGCCGCCTCCGGACACCTGGAAATTGAATACCGGTGTGAGGCTGCCGCTGGAAGTGTCGAAATAGTGATCGGCCAGCTTGAATCCGCTCATCTGGGCGAGTCTTGCGAGCCAATTCTCGAGGGTGATACCGCCAGCTAGGCCCTGGAGCTCGTGGATGATCCCCGCGATGTTGGCGGAGATTGCCTTGGATTCCTGAACGCAGGAGATGTCGAACATCTGTGCAATGGCACCGACGTTGACGTATTTCCCTTGCGTGCAGGTGTAGTTCTGCGTCCCAAAACCGATTGTGACTTGGCTGAGGGAGGCATTTGATGGCGGGAGGAGCGCTGTTAGGTTGGCTGGCAAGTCGGCAGCAAGGTGTGCCTGAGTGATATCGCACTTAGGGGCTTGACCCTGGCCAGGTGCAAGAGAAGTAGCAGACGCAAAGGGAGCGGCCAGGAAGGCAATAGCAGCGAGTTTGAAGAAGGCGTGCATCGCTGGGAAATTAGTGGAAATCGTAGAATAATTAGGTTGAGATTAGGTGGCGATCGGAGTGCCGTAATAGGAGGTTGATTTGATACGATCACAAGTCCATCAATGTTTACCCTTTAATAGCATAGCTGCTTAACATTGGTCAAGGTGCTGAAAGTCATGTAAGGGCCGTGCGCAACTCCGAGGCGAGACACCGGCCCAAACGTGGGCCGATCGATGAATGTTCGCTTAACGACGGGCTGAGCCTGGTCGTTAAAGTTTATCATCGCCAAGGTGGTCAAGAAGGGTTCGCGGACCGATGGTTCCGTAGTCTTGGCAGGGGGGAAAGGGGAGTTTAGTAGGCGCAAAAATAGCTTAGTAATGTTCTCACAAAAAAAATGCTGTGAATAAATAGAATTAGGCGCGCAGATAGCACAGCAGCGCCGGGTGCAGGTAAATTGTCAGCAGGGGGTTTCGAAGAACCCCTGGCCGACACCGGAATTCGGCAGTCCACCATCTGCTGCATCCCTTCCAAACCACAGGTGTACTTCTGAATATCCTTTGTCACGGATCAAAGTAATTTGTATCGCATTCATCGGCACGGATCCGGACATGGGACCGCCGCGTTCCGACTCCGTGGGTTGAGCGCGGTATAAAGATGAGAGACTGGCGCAGGGTCAAAGCGCTCACCATCTTGGCTATATCTGCCCACAAGCATTACTTGTACACCCACTCCCCTAATTCCTTACACCCTCCTTCTCCTCCCTCCGCAATGCATTGCCTGTTCAAGCTCATGGCGCTTGCGCTCGCCGTTCTTCCACTTGTCTCCGCCGATCTCCATGCACAAGGAACCCAGCCGCACTGCAGTGTCGCGAACATTTCTCTTCCAGACGCCTTGACCGGAGACAGCCATGGGCTGACAAATTTGACTGCTCTTATCCCCCCGGCCAATGTCTCCATTGTCCAAGTGACGATTGGGTTCGGCGCTCAGGTACGCCTTCAAACTCTGTTGTGCGGAAACATGTCTCTAACGCCGCTTCAGAATTACACGTGCACTCAGGGCAAGTACGTCAATGTTGGAGCTGTTGCCCAAGTGTTCGACATTTCCTGCATCCAAAACCTGCCGTCCATTTCTGCTGGTCTCTCCCTTGCCATCAACGAGCTTGAGAGCGTTGCCGGCGAGGGTCTCCTGAACTTCATCACGATGCTGGCGAAGATGGGTGGCTTCAAGCTCGCAGACCACTACTTCGACACGTCTTCCGGTGCCCTCGCCCCGGTCTTCAATTTCCAGATTTCCGGCGGTGGTTTCGCCATCGGCAAGAAGCTGCAAGACATTCCCGACCCAGTCAACCCCATCAAGAATGTTGACTGGCTCCAGCTCACCGCAGTCCAGGGTGACGCCGCCAAGTTCCTCGTTCGTGAGCAGACCGTGGGTGGTCAACCTCCGGCCAGCTGCGCCGTCGAGAACGAGACCCTCCAGGTCCCGTATGCGGCGAAATACTGGTTCTTCGGATGATTGGATGATCGAGTAGAGAGGCCCATTTTAGAACGATCACGAATTCGAACATTGTGTATTTGATGTAATACTGTTTAGCATGATTCCATTTTTAATACCTGTCGTGTTCCATATCTTCATATTATACCCGATTTTTGGAGCCCAATCCATCTTGGAAAAAGCAGGCAAACATATCACCACCTTCTCATGACCCATGGCCAGAAGGCCTTCCGTTGTCCAGGACTCAGGCCCACCAGCGGACGGTCGCACCGGAACGAATTCTCTAGTGTCCAGGCGAGCGGAGATGTCAGACTCACCGGATTAGGCTGCCGACCTTGATCCGCTGAATCATGTTGTTAACACAGTCACACACCATTGTAGACTTGAGTCAGGCAACTGACATGTTAAATGACCACTCCGCATCCAAACACGCCGAAACGTGCTTCCTCACGGTCCATCCAGCATCTCAACGTCCAATCCCCCCACTGGCCGTAGTCTACCTCGAGCTCGTGTTCCATTGGTTTGCCAGGTTCATCGTCCTGGACCTTGCCTTTGCTACACTGGCGTCGCTGCCATTCCTCTTCCGCTTTGAGCAAATGGAGTTGAACGCGTTCCAAGTTGCCAAGAAGTGGGGAGACACGGGAGCGCAGAATATTGAGCGTATCGCGATTCGACACGAGAATCTCCGGAAATAGTTCACCTAGAAAAGTGGTCTGTGGGTCCATTAGTATCCTGGAAGAGCTTATTGATGTGTTGTACATACTGCGACTTCGTCACAGCAGAAGACCTCTGGCAGCGTGTCTCCCTGCTCGTCCTGAAGAACGAAGGCGAACCGCCAGCGGGGGACAAGAAGAGTATCATTTTCGTCATCGTCTCTCATACAGTCTGAACATGTTCGCTGGTTGATGGGCACACTGTCTTATTGTCAATGACAGCACGAAGCCCTGGTTTGACTGCTTACTCCCGATGACACTTTAGACATTGTTGCCAAACCCAGTCCCGTAGTCTCCCGGGCTGGAATGACACTATCCTCGCTCTTACTTTCCACATGCTTTGGTTGGAAGCATGACGGAGCATTGCCAGGGTAGAATGCGGCATGTTGTGAAAAATACTCCTGAGAGGCTCGCTACCGTGAATGTTTCTTCTATAATTGGGAACCGCTTCAGATGCGGGAGGAGAGACAGAACACAGTCCAAGATGAGCTTGCCCAGGCCCCTCAGACGTCAAATCAAAAGGAATCTCGTCGTGCTTGGGAGGAGGGCTATCTGTTGAAGATCCCTCCTGTCCTAAGATCGACGAGGCTTTTGGGGGAGGTGAATGGGGTATCTCAATGTCAATCTTCAGCACGTCTGCCTTTCGTCTGTAATGTCATTAATATGAGTCACACATCAAAGGACAACCGGTACCTTAACAAAGCCTTCACAGTAGGATCAGTATTGGGCAGGATTGTGATACTGCAAGGCCGCTGGACAACTTCTCCGATCTTGCCGGCTAAGAGAGGAGGATCTTCCTTTCCGTCTCCAAGCTTCTTCCTGGAGGCGGTCTTACGCAGCAGCATATACTCGAATCGTACAAAGCAACCAGTGGTCAGCCCTGCTGCCTGGCCTCGGTAGACATCATCAAACACAGAAACCTGGAGCGTGCGACGTCCTGGCGGTGGTCTCCACTGCTCGACAGAGCTGAAATCCATCAGGTAAGGGTGCTCCGTGTAGTCCGTGACATAGTAGTCGTCGATGTTCACTGCTCTCCAGGCCTTGAGGACCTCTGCAGTGAATGTGTAGAACCCGCCCTGACGCATTCCACTCACGCAACACTCGATGGCGGGAGGGATTTGTGGGACGGGTGTCAGAGATCGAGATGTTTGGAATCGTGGCAGGTCGGTTGCCGATGTGGTGCGAGATAGAGCTTCAGAGCCTCCTTTCAGGAAGGCAATCTTCCTCCTATTTAAGCCCTCAGAAAAACATAACGGACGGACTACGGAGGTACGTACTTGCGAAGCGCCTTCAGTGAGTCGTCGCTTTCAGGTATTCGCACAAATATCTCCTTGCCGTCTTTGCCCATACCCATACTTCCTTCCAAGTTTCCGCCCCGTCCCCATCTGACGCGGACATTTTTCAGTTTGAAGAATTGCAATGGCTGAATGACGTCAGCAACTTTGTTGACTTCGTCCCACAGGGTAATCTTGCAAACAAATGAATTCGGAAGAGGTAGTGCTTGTATTCCGGGAAGCGATAGGTTGCTTTGCTTGGGGTCGCCAAAACCAGGATTTTCGGTGAAATCCGTTACATATAGGTCAGTTGTACGGCTATCGGGCCACATTTTGACCACCTAGGAAAGAAAGGTCAAGTTACCGGGGTTTTCCCGTGTCTACTGCAGCGTAACATACCTGAACTAGACAATCACAGAAGACGTTGTCTTTCATATCTTTCAGTTCCACTTGTTCACGGCGCTTCTTGGCGACCTGAGTAAATGACGTTTCGGCCGTGTTCTGGCCCGCGTTAGTTGCATCCCTCTTCTCCCTCCACCAGTCGATCAGCTCCAGGCAGTATCCCAGCTCCACCTGATCCATTTTCAGACTCATGAAAGGGCCGGTATATTCTCTCCCGTGCGCTGGCTCAAATGCTGCCCAGCTGAAGTTGTCCTTGTATCCGACAGCTGAGAGTCTCGAGTTGAGGGGGGTGATCTGGACCTAAGGTGAGGAAAGAACGTGACAAGGGGAAAAGAGAGAGAAAGTCACCTTTAGTTGCTTGATAAGTATTGCTTCCCCAAGTTTGGCAGTGGGCAGAGCTTCTTTCTTATCTCGGAAGAAGTTGATGCTCAGCTCCGTGTCGGGAAACACGGATGGATCGGTGATCGAATATGTGACCATCCAGTCTATGGCCTTGATCAGCATATAGATAGAGAAAGATGGACTTCCCCGTACCGCCACTCCGTACTTGCTTAGGATCGTCTGCACGGACAACAATGCCGGCAACATGCGCACGGAGATTTTCCGTCAAATCAGCTAATGCCGGATGCACAGTGCCCTTGAGTCGAGTCAGTAGATCCAAAGGCTGGACACGTAGGATACGCACGCTTTTGTTAGTGAAACCAGCGTCCGGTCGGTTCTTCTTTTGAGCAGTCGCAGCAGTCGTCTTCTTCACAGAAATCGCCTTATTCTCTTGTGCCTCGCTTTTAGGAGTCTTTCTGGAAATGTCTTCGATTTTCTTCTCAATATTCCCCATCTTGTTCTGCAGTTTCGCCTGCCCATTCGGTTTCTCCTTATTCTCCTCCTTGCTCGATTGAAGTGTCGGATTGTTTGCGTGTCGCGTGTCTCGCTTCCGAACGCGTTTTCGTTTCGGTTTTGAGGGACCTGCTTGACCTGCAGTCGGTGGACCAGGAACGCTTCCTTTGGGCTGAGTCGGTGCGATTGAGGTGGTGGTGTGGGTCGCGGGAGAAGGGTTGGATGGGGCAGCAAATTCCCGTGCAGGTGGAGTAAATTTAGGGGGCATAGGCGTGCGGAATGTGTCGTCATGAGAACCAGATGCTTCTTTGACAATATTCATTGCGTCAGACTCGCAGATCAAACTAACAGGGAGAGACGACGTACGAAGACCACTCGCGATATCTGTTACAGGAGTCAGAGGCCTTTCTTCAAGAGAGTCACTCATCGCAGGTGCCTCATCTAAAGAAATCGCGCTGGAAGTCGTCGCGGGTGTATCGTACCAATCCTCGTAATTATATGCAGCTGTCCCAGAATTCAGTTCGGGAAAGATGAGCGTGCTGGGAAAGACTCGCCCTTGCGGGTATCCAGGATCTTTTCTTTGTGCATTAATACACATCCTTTTGTAAAAACAAGCTTGAAAGGTAGTTTGGATTGGTCGTTCACAGGTTCGTCAAAGCGCATACATTCAGCGTTCTCTAGCAATAACGCCAGTTTGCTGCCAGGTACGACGGTAGCCAACTGAGAAAGATCGCCAGAGCGGATAGCAACATAAACCTCGAGCTTATTCTCACTATGGACGCGCAGAAGAAACTTTTTCGTCTTGTTGATGTTCACAGGCCAAGTAGAGGAGACAGTGCCAGTTATATGCGACCGTGGGGAGAACCCTTTGATGATCTGTGCAGGATCGAGCTCGCATGACGGGCTGAAGGGTTCTTCTTCTTCTCTGGGTAGCCTGGAAGGTCGCTCATCCTCCGTCTCCAGAGATTTTCGTTTGCGCTCGCCTGGAGACATGGCGGAGGGAGAGCAAGGGGAGCCGGCAAACGCGACTCAGACGCGTCTCGAGACCCTTCTGCACCCGCTGATTCCTTTATCGGGGCCATGTGATTGTAATGATTACGGCATTCTTGGTCATCATCTAACCCTTCACTCTCTTTCCTCCCTCTCGAGCCGGACATGGCAACAGAGACCTGGAAGGAAGTCTGCAGGAGAAAGCGAGAGGAACAAGCAGCTTCCATACCTACAACTTGGTTACTTCCCTCTTTACCTCCCGCATCAACTCTGAACGTCCTGGGCATCCCTCGAACATGTGGCCTGTTGTCCGAGAAAGAACTAGAGATCACAGAACTGGACGATATTGCTCAGCTCCTTGAATCGATTGAAACAGGAAAATGGTCATCAGTACAAGTTGTCACAGCGTTCGCGAAACGCGCATGTATAGCGCATCAACTTGTTTGCCTATCTCCAGCGTTCTCGCTCTCCAATAACGAGCTCCGTAGACGAACTGCTTGACAGAGATCTTCATCGATAAGGCGCTGGAAAGAGCTCGGTGGCTGGATGACTATCTTAAGACAGAAGGGAAGCCTATCGGACCACTGCACGGGCTACCGATCTCTCTGAAGGACCAGTTCTGCATCAAGGTATCCACTCCGCACGCCTCATAACTATGTCTTACGTTTCCATCAGGGGCTGGATACAGTGATGGGTCAGCACGCCTAGGATATTCATAATTATATCTGAGTATTACTAGGTTATGCGGCTTGGGTTGGCAAAACCGCAGAAGAGGACTGCACCCTCGTCTCCCTGCTTTTGGAACTCGGCGCCATCCCGTACGTGCGGACCAACGTCCCCCAAACGCTTATGGTAACCCTGTCTTTCCTCCTCATTTTAAGCTAACTACTGTAGTGGGGTGAAACATACAACAACGTATATTTACGAACTGTGAACCCCTACAACCGACTACTCACACCTGGCGGGTCCTCGGGGGGCGAAGGCGCTCTCCTCGCACTACACGGTTCCCCATTAGGCGTCGGTACAGACATAGGCGGTAGCGTGCGCATCCCCGCAACATGGTGCGGCCTCTATTCCCTTCGCCCGTCGTACAACCGTCTTCCATACCAAGGAGCATGCAACTCGTTCGAGGGTTTCGAAGCCGTCCCCTCCGTTCTAGGGCCGATGGCACACTCCCTTCCCGCACTCAAGACGTTCACCAAAGCGATTGTTAATGCCAAACCATGGGACTGGGATCCGGAAGCGGTACGGAAGCTGTGGAGTGAGCGAGAGGAGAAGTTGGACGAGCATGGGCAGGGGAAGGGGTTGTGTTTTGGGATACTGTGGGATGACGGGTTGGTGCGCGTGCATCCTCCTGTGGGCAGAGCACTGGAGATGACTAAAGCAGCTGTCGAAGCTGCTGGGCATACAGGTGCGCAAACCTCGTCCTTCCTAACTCTCCCTATACTTAACCCACAGTGATCGAATGGAAGCACTACAAGCCCCTCGAGATCCGCGCTGTATTGGTGGGTCATCCCCTTTCTCTCTTCCTTCACTCATGAGGTACAGAACGCCCTCTTCCTCTCCGACGGTGGGACGGACTTTGTCGCACACACCTCTCTCCCGCCACACGAGCTCCTGCTCACCACCGTCTTCCCGCGTCCTGATTCGCCCTTTTCCCACCCGTCGCTCGCTCTACCCCCACCAGCAGAAAACACGCTCCTCCTCCCACACCCATCCATCCCCGTTCATGAGCTCTACTCACTACACGTCGAGAAGCGCCAGCTAGCAAAAGGGTTCCTCGACGCCTGGATCTCCTCCCGCACACGTACAGGCACCGGCCGCCCGGTAGACGCGCTCCTCGCGCCTGTCATGGCTACACCCGCACCGCCGCACGGGAGGAACGCGTACGACTTTTACTGCGAGTACTGGAATGTCGTCGACTGCCCCTGTGTGGTGCTGCCTGTTACTAAGGTCAATCCTGAGGTGGACAGGAAAGAGCCGGCGTGGGAATGGAGGTGCCAGGAGGAGAGGGTCGTGCACGAGCTTTGTGGGTATTGTCCTACACATGACGGGCTGCGCTGATAGGAAGCAGACGAGCCGGAGTTGTTTAGGGACATGCCGGTGGGGATCCAAGTGATTGGCAGGAAACAGGAGGAAGAAGCAGTGCTCAGTATCGCCCAGCTCGTGGATGATGCGCTGAAATCCCATGCTGTAGCAAAGCAAGATGAATTAGAGTCATAATAGAATGAGTACACCCTCTCTACAACACCATCGCCATCTACAGGCACAGACAAGACAAGGGCTCAGAACGCCATCCGGTAACTGGCGTAACGACCCGAGGTCTCGGAGGGACGAATGATACGCACAACCTGACCGCGCTTGAGACCATAGTATCTTGCAACAGGGTCGCCGAGCTGGATCCTCGGGAGCTGGGAATCCCTCAACCGGCTGCAACGAATCAGCACTCCATACAGTTGGAGGGGAAAAGAACGTACTACTTCTCTAACAAATCCTTCTTCTCTTCCGGGGACATGACCTCATGCTTCGGTACCAGTTTGTGTTTCGTGATATTGACGAGCAGCTCGCTTTCCGCAAACTCCTCGAGCGTGTACGACTGCGCCATCTGGGCGATCACCTTCCTCGAGCTGGGTGTCATCGCCGTGGGGTAGATAATGATCCCGCGCTGGATGGCCTTCTCGTCCAGGATGTGTATGAATCGACGCATAGTCTTGATACCGACGGACTTTTCGTCAGCGAAGAAGACGAAGATCTGGTCTGAGGGGTTGGACCGGGAGTTGGTGAAGAAGTTGAGCTGGTTTCGGCTGCGAATCGATCAATAACTGTCGATCGGACATTGAACGAAAAGAAGACGTACTCAACCCTCCCATGCTGCGCATAGTGTGACCGGAAATTATCCAGAGTCAGGCTAAGCTCCTCATCCGATACCTGAAATCCCTGTTTTCTGTAAGCCAAGGCCGCAGAGAGGGCGAAATGAGCTATGCATACCCGGTCATTAACCAGTTCGTGTATTGTCCTATTTATACGCCATAGCCTGGCAGTTTCACGGTTGTCGTCTTCTGCCATTGTGTTGCAATCAGGGAGGGAGGATGAGATGAGGATGACTGCTCTGTGGCAAGAAGAGGCGCTCAAATAAATTGATCCCGCTCACGTGAAATTGCCTTGTGAGTATGTAACTATGTCGTGTGCTTTGACTGTTCGCGTCTCTCTTAACAATGACCACCTACATGTATGGAAAGCCCTCACCGTCCAAGGATAACAGGAACCAGCGTGGTCCACCAGGTACATCAATGCCCATCACTCCAGCAACTATAGTACGTCTTTCCTTTCCCCCACCATCTCCTGCTCACCCACCAACGAAGGCACGACTTCGCCCCGCCCGCGTATTCCAAAAAGCTGTCGATCCTGCGCCTCCTTCTGACCCTTCAGCACCACATACCATTACCTCGCTCTCGTTTGACAACACCGGGGAGTTCCTCGTCACCGCAGGGGAGGACGAAGCTTTCAGACTGTACAACTGCCGGCAGGGGAAACTTGTCAAGCCGTTCTGGAGCAAGAAGTATGGTGTCGACCTCGCCACTTTCACACATAAGAGCACGACGATTCTGCATGCGAGTACGAAGGAGGATAATACAGTGAGGTATCATAGTTTACACGATAACCGATATTTGCAGTACTTTAAGGGCCATCAACGACGGTGCGCCTCCTCGTAACTCACCAGCGCTTGCTCACGCGCAAGTAGGGTAATATGTATCCAAATGTCTCCGGTGGACGACACCTTCCTCACCTCCTCGTTGGACAAGACCGTCCGTCTCTGGGATCTTCGCAGTCCCACCTGCCGCGGACTCCTAAACCTCCCCCGCGCCCCAGTAGTAGCGTACGACAACACCGGTGTCGTCTTCGCCGTCGCACTCTCCTCTCCACCCAGAATAGCGCTCTACGACGCCTCTGCATGGGATACGGAACCATTCCTCTCCGTGGAGCTGAACGATACCCAGCTGGCGCAACGTGCCTTCCCGCCCCGGGTACCCGTCGTCACCTCCCTCCAGTTCTCCTCAAATGGCAAATGGCTACTCGTAGGCACCGCAGGCGAGGTACACTATGTGCTTGACTCCTTCAACGGCGACCTCCTTGCTAGATTGGAAGGACATCAAGGGTTAGAGAGGGGCAAGCACCCTGGCGCAGCAGCGGACATCGTCCCCCGACGCGGGATCTCCGGGCAAGAAGTAACTTTCACACCCGATAGCAAGTTCGTCATCTCCGGTTCTCACACGGGCCGGTGGCACGCCTGGGACCTGTTGAATAAGGAGGAGACGATGTCTGGCGCACTGGTGGGGAAGGAGCAGGAAGTGAGAACTGTGTTGCCGAGTTTTGGACTGGAGGGGCATTCGGCACCCGTGAGGTGTGTGAGGTGGAACCCGAGGTTTGCGATGATGGCTACTGCGGGAGAGGAACTGGTGAGTTTTTTGATTTTGTTGTTATTGTGAGAAGGAGGCTGATGGGTGAAGGCGTTCTGGCTCCCGGAGAGAAAATTTGAGCCACCCAGGAGGGAGGAGAGGGAGAGGAGACCAAGTGGGGATGTCAGGATGGACGGACGATGATGGGGGATGATCAGGCTTGATTGTGTTTTGTATCATGATCATGACTCATGATGTACGAGACGTTCTTGGGAGGTGTGAGGATAGGTGAGATGTGGGAGTGTACGTCATACAGCCATAAATCATATTTCTCGTTATGTACACAGGGAACGTCTAGTATCATACAAGCGGACGTATCAGAACAAAACAGCTGACGTGACCCACACGACAACCTCCACCACACCTCTTCCCCCACGACTCTCCCCGCTCCCCTTCATGTGCATCCCACTATGTACTCCAAGTATCACGCCCTTCCTAGAGCGAAAAGAGCAAGCTCACAGAAGCCTTCTCTTTCCGCTCCACGCTTGGCGCCAGAAAGAGGCACGTAGGTCTCGTGGCATGAGCCAGGCTAGCCAGGTGCTCGTGAACGTAAACCAGGAGGTATAGAGGAGAACGGTCTTCGTTCCCAGGGTGACGACCTGCCACACATGCCGTTCTTATGAGCTCGGGATAGGAAGAACGGGAAGGGACTCACACTGGCGTTCACCCTCGGCGTGTGCTTCTTCGTAGGTTCATTTCCAGCAATCAAGCTAAGCACATTGGCAGCTATGACCCGAGCATGTCTCAAGCTGCCCCCAAGCAGCTTGACCTCCTTCAAATCTGCTACATCGCCCATGACGAATATATGCTTCAGGCGAGGATCCTCCAGCTGGAGCGTGTCGAGAACGCGGATACAGCCGGTGTCGGAGATGGAGCTGGGGTCGAGTGCTGCCACGAGGGAGCTGTTGGGCCGGTTCCCGGTAGCCAAGTAGACGTATTGTGCTACCTGCGATGAGCGGGTGTGGTAGGAACAGATTGTGTGCTTACCGGAGATCGTGCGCCCCTTTTGGGTGTGGAAAATCGTTTTCTCCCCTACTGGGTCGCCAGACGTGTACCCTGCTGGCCAGAGAACTGTATCCTCCAATATGATCTCTATGCCGAGCTTCTCAATCACAGGTAAAACCTTCTCATGCGCCCTCGGGGCGAACTTCATCAGTTTGTCATTCCGGTGTACGAGCGTGACTCCGACATGCGGGCAATGTTCTGCCACTTCTGTGGCGAATTCTAGTCCTGCAGGGCCGCCGCCTACCACTAGTACACGTTGGGCGGAGGCGATGGTGGACTGGGTGGAACGTAGGTAAGCCGAGATCTCTCTCCCTGTACGACCGGCTGGTTTTCCGGGAAGATTCTGTGAAGCACCGGTTGCGAGGATGCAGAACTGTGGAGCGGTGAGCCTAAGCGGATGGGTGAAGACGTGGCTTACTTCGAAAGGGATCTCTATCCCTAGACCGAGCTCAGCGTGCTCTTTTTCCACAACCACGGAGCGTTCTCTTAGTTCGAGCACCTCTGTCCCCGGTAAGGATATGTGTTGACTACCCTTGCCGAAAACTTGGTCAAAGGGAGTATGAATACAGTCCTCCCATCCTGTCCCTCTTTCAGCAAGGGCTGAACAGACAATTATTCTAACATACCTGGTATGACTGCAGCCCGGAGAGATGCAATCGGGTAGAAGAGGTCTTCTTGTTTGTCGATGAGGATCAGCCGGTATTCCTTCGGCAGTCTTTTCTGGAGACAGCTTGCTGCAAGAAAACCTGTGTCGACAAGTGAGCGCATCAAGACCGCTGTTAGAGGGGGGTACTCTCGTACCAGAAATGGCACCGACAATGATAACGTTCTTGAAGGGAGTAGTCATGTCGTCTAAACCAGGGGAAAGGTGCCCATGCCAAACCAACATGAGGGCCGTTTATATACATGCCAAGAAGCAGATCTTATCAGATGCCCAAATTTGGTCCCATATCCACAGTCCCCGATATTTGTCTCTCAGGGACTGCGGCCACCAGGAAGTCCCGTGTCTCCTTTCGTGATACTAAGAAAGAGGCCGGCCGGAATGACACGCGTCTAAACAGGTGGCCGTCCGGCAGGTCTGACTTTCCAATCCGGAGCCCAGACCGCAGGCTTTATCCACTACGCCAGGCTGCGGCGCTTCTTCCAGGCATCAGCCTGTTTAGACGAGTTGTCCATGTCCAGACGTCAAGTTATCCGTGGTCCTTGAAATGGTGAAAGTTGAACCCACAGCTTGAGAGCCGTGAACGCGAGGAGGTTCGGCGGGACCCTTCCCAAACTGCGGACTCCCTGGAGGCTTCGTGGATTTCGGGCCCGACGCGGATCTATCACCCCCTGATTAGATGCGAGACAGGAGACAGTCATAGAGACGCATAATGGGAATATGTCGTTTGTGATTACGCGTCTTAGCAATGGTGAATGTGACTGTATGCCAGGACGGCGCGTCGCCCCGATCGTAGAGTTGCGTTCGGCCGACAGATTAAGCTATCCCCAAAGTGACTTGCTCATTACTCTTCTTTCCAGTATTTTGCGAAATCAGTCTAGGAACTGTGTCCAGATGTCCTCAACTAGGTCGTCAATTTGGACTATCCCGAAATATAAGTCGGTGGAGTCCCCGGGGTCTTGAGGTATATCGGAGCAAGCCGTAAAAGAATGTCCCCAGCTGACTCCTGAACGGTTAAAGGACAACTTCATGGGAGAAATGTCGGACGAAATCGTGAACGAGTTTCCGATGGAATTCTGAAGTTCAGAATAGCCCTTCATGGGTTGTAGGTGAAGAAGAAAGGACGAACACACACCTTCCCCAAACTGCAGGAAGGGAACGCCACCGCACGTGGAACCCTGAGAGAGCACATGGCCGTCCAAGCCCAACTTCGTGGAACCCCAGGAAGGGTCGTCTCCCACCATTCCAACGTTCATCCCACCACCAAAATGCGCCCTTCATTTGTGCAAAGGGCGCTCCTGGCGCTCGGCTTGGCTACTTTCGTGACTGCGGGTGAGTGATTACTGTCAGAGGTGGTAGGCTGATGACTTACGCGTGTGGTGTAGCGGTCGTTCCGAGTGAACCGAATGTAAAGGCGACAGCGACATGGCCCGAAGGGAATCCATTTGGTCGTGCGTTGTTAATGCTCGTATTATCTTACATAGTGCTGAAATGAGATCCAGTGGTTGTGAACGGCCAGAAGAACGAGATGTCCGTAGCGGTCGAGAATGCTTCGCCGAACAACATCTCGCTCGTCTCCATCGGCGGGTCCTTCCATGACGCTGTCTCCGAGGCCTTCCTACGCAACGTGCGATCTTCATTCTGATAGCATGTTCTACTCTATGATTGACCCTGTGAACAGACAACTGCGCGCAGTGTAGCGGGCGTCATCGTCCCTTCCGGTGCTAAGCTCCAGCTGCCCTACGTCTTCCACAGCGAGTTCAAGCCCAAGGACCTCAAGCTTCACGTCTGGCTCGACTATCTCGACGGTGTCCGTCTCGCTCGATCTCTCATGACCTTTCACTCACCCAATTTCAGGAAAACGAATCGCGCGCAACGGCCTTCGAAGGCATCGTAACGATCACCGAGCCACCCTCGTCTATCTTTGACCTGCAGATGTGGGGCACCTACCTCCTCCTACTGGCTCTGGTCGCTGGTGGGGGATACTGGGCATACCAGTCCTATTTCCCGCAGAAGAAGCGCGGCTCTCGGTCTTCTTCCAAGCCTAAGCCTAAGCCTGCGGACGTTTCTTCCCCGGTTGGGACGGTCAAAGTAAGCAGCGGAGGGGGAACGTACGAGGAAGAATGGATCCCGAAACATCATCTGAAGAGTGGAAAGAAGGAGAAGACTGAGGGTGGCGCTGCGAGTGGTCCTGAGAGCGGGGCGGAGAGTGAGGGCGCGAAGAAGAGGAGGAGCTCCAAGAGGAAGTGAGTGATGAGGACATGAGTAAGGATGTGTTGGATGCGGTTAGGATGTTCGAGGGTGTCTGCGGGGGTTCCTTCTTAGCGACTACACTTTTTTGAGCCCAGTACATGCCTCGTCTTATTCTACCATCACCACCGACCCAAAATAATCAGAGATCATTTGGATTATATTTAGTTGTGTGACAAGTGACGACCCGCACAATTCGGGGGCGTAAACGTATTATTTTGTTTGAAATCTTGATTACATCATTAATAAATAAAACCCAACGATTGTGCTTGTGAATTTCGTGTTTGAGGCCATGCAAAGTGGCAAGGAAGCAGGTCGTTTGCCCAAATTATGTTTATGCTTCCGAATTGTGCTAAATAAGACTCCAAAGCCGCGATCCCAGAAGAGCAATAAAACTGTATGAGATATCTGCTGAGATATAAAGACAGTGGATAACCCGCAGCCAGGCGTGTCTGGGTGTTTTTCGGAGCGGAAGTTGCAAAAAAAAAAAAAAAAAAGAGGTCGATTTGGGATTCGAACCCAAGTTGCTCGGAAAGTTCCGGAGATCAGAACCGAGAGTGATAACCGCTACACTAATCAACCGGCTGACTAAATTTTCTCATGGTTCAAGGATCATGTACAAAGTGTAAAAATTTCAACATCTCATGGTCTTGTTTGACGGAAACAGAGGCGGAAATCTAGACCTAATTCCATATGGATTTCTGACGACTGGATCTCATGATTTTGCAGGCTCCGGTTTACTCATTTCTTGACTACAACTTTTTTTAAACGAGGTAAAGAGCTTGATTATATACCTTGGAATTACTCTCTACGGTAACCTGATCCGCGTGTCAGATGAAGGACCACAATTGTGAATAGTTGAGACGGTTTGAGCTTGATAGTCATACAACGGATTTGTGTTCTACTGTATGTACGACATGAACTAATACAACAACGGAATGGTTCAATTTGGAAGAGAAAAAGAAGGCTCATCTTGAAAGCGAGAAAGTGACAGAAGAAAGCAATTCAGCAAGAGACCAACCCATCTACCAATCACCGCCATCGCCCATATCGCCCAGAATATCGCCCAGAAGGAACCCACCGGCTAGACCGCCTAGCAGCGGAAGAGCCATCCCTCCCCCTCCCCAGCCAGACGACCGCTGCTGGTACTGCTGTTGCGGTGGTGCATACTGAGGCTGATAATAAGGCTGAGGGGCGTACCCGCCATAGTAGCCTCCTTGCTGCGGGGGATAGTATCCCTGCTGTGGAGCGTATCCCTGTGGTGGAGCCTGGTTGTATTGCCCCGGATACCCCTGTCGCTGAATATCTTGCTGTCTCTGCTCGTATTTCCTCCGCATGTCTGCTTCCCGTTTCTCGGCCGCGATCCGGCGCTGCTGGCGCTCCTCAGGCGTACCCTGCAGCTTGTCCTTGACATTGCCGAACACGCCTTTCTTTCCCGAACCGGAGCCGCTGGCTTTCGTGTCCTGGTCCTCGGGTGGAGGACCAGGCGGTGGAGCAAACTTCTTCGGTGCAGAGCTATCGGGGATGGAAGCGATGAAAGTTGGGTCGTCATACGGGTGCACCCAGATAGAACGGGGAGGCTTGGCCTTCGTATCAACGTAGAAATGATGTTTCTGGTTCGGGTCCCACTGGCGGATCCACCCTGGTGGGAGCTCGCGCTCCTCATCCAAAAAGCTAGCAACAGAGGCGTTGGGCATGCTTGCACCAGGTACGGAGAGCTTGGAAGTATCCTGCTTTGATTCGAAAGAATTGGCAGACTTGCCCGTGTTGGGTGTGTTGGGGCTAACAGGGGTATAGGCAGGGGGTGCGTCCAAGGGCTCGTTGATGGAGGGTGGAACAGAGGTGTTGCTACGGTTATAAGGGTTGTTGGACATTGCTGCGGTTGTTCTCTTTATATCAGAAATGAAAAGGAGAGAGAAGAAGGTGGTGTCGAACCACCGGGGGAAGGCCTTATAGGATGGGCACTGGTTGACTTGGCGCCGGCTTATGTATGTGTGCTGCGTGTCACGTTTTGTTCGGCGCCGCAGTCCCGCCGGGTTTGCGGGGTCAGATCACGTAATCATGCGCTCTTCCGGACCATTCCATGATGATGAGACGCGAACCCTATCCATTCCCGAGCTGACCACGAACGGCTGGCATTTTAATATGTTGCAGATGGCTTGTCATCGTCTAGATTGTATTTCTGCTGGCAATAGATCTTGTTCATTGACAACCATCATTGCTTTGTCTGCTTGAACGCTCTGAAATAAGGAAATGGTAAAGAAAGTTCTCTGTGGGTTTGGCGTCGACGTGGATGCTGTAGCGGGTACGTCTTTCACCGCCATCGCTTCCGCTCGGAACTTACCTCTAGATCTCTGATACAGGCTGGTCCGCCTCTTCTCCATCATGCACTCACGATGTCCACTGATTGTAACCGGTCAGGCTCGGTTCATATGCCGGTGAAGACTCGCCGAACGATATCTCTCGTGGTATGTTTGCGGGAGAGGTGGGCACTCCGAGGCTGTTGAAACTGTTCAAGAAGTATGACATGAAGACAACATGGTTTGTGCGTCTGGTAATCGTCTTTGAGAAACGAGGTGCTGATAAGGTGGGGAAGATCCCTGGACACTCTCTGGAGACGTTCCCCGAGCAGATGGCGATGGTGCGGGATGCAGGACACGAGATAGGCCTGCACGGGTACTCACACGAGGTTCGCCTACCGCTCCCTCCCCTCCTTACCGCTCACGTACAGCGCACAGAATCCAGTAGCGATGACGCTCCAGCAACAGAAGGACATCCTGGAGCACACCTTCAAGCTCTTGACCGACTTCTGTGGCAAGCCTCCAAAGGGAAGCGTCGCTCCCTGGTGGGAGACATCCGCCGAAGCGACCGAGCTCTTGCTCGCCAAAGGCGTGGAGTACGACCACAGCGATATGTCACACGACTGTCAGGCATATTACCTGCGCGATCAAGACAATTGGACTAAGATCGACTTCTCGCAGGAGGCGAAGAGCTGGATGAACCCTCTCGTACGGGGCAAGCCTACGGGGCTGGTGGAGATCCCCGCCAGTTGGTACCTGGACGACCTGCCGCCAATGATGTTCATCAAGAAGAGCGCGAATTCTCATGGATGGGTCGATACGCGTGTGGTGGAGCAGCTGTGGAAGGATCAGTTCACGTACTTTTACAGGGAGTATGATGAGTTCATCTTCCCTATTACGATTCACCCAGATGTGAGCGGGAGGCCGCATGTGCTGCTCATGCTGGAGAGGTTTATCGAGTGGGTTAATACGGTGCGTACTGTCCTCCTTTTGCTTGCGTTTAGTGGCAGGTTTGATAAGAGTGACATAGCATGAGGGTGTGCATTGGGTGACGATGAGAGAGATGGCGGACGACTTTCTTTAGGAGCAAGGTCAAAGTCTAAACAAAGTATTGGTGCGCTTGGTCAATGGTAAGGGCCCTCCCTGGTAGATGTGCAGATAGCAACTATGCTGGGGATTCCCCACAACTTTGTGCATCGATTGAGCTCGGGAAGAGGGCCCATGTAAGATGTCAGCACCTACGACCCCTCTTCGACCATATCCTCTGCCATCTAGGGATCCCACACCCCGACTGACTAGTAGGGTCCTTGGCTAGGATTCCGGATTCCATGTCGGGAAACCCGCATGTAGTGGAGACCAACCGACACCACCACTTCTCAATCTCGAACCACCACCATGTCTCGTCTCCTGCTGCGCTTTCGGCACCGTTCTTTTCCATCGGTCGGGACGGTACATCTCTTGAACCGTTGTCACCAGTCCTCCCGTCCGAGCTCTGTGCCGAGGCCTACCATTCAAGAACAAGCCCGCCATCTTTCTTCACGCCGGACATGGGTGGAGATGTTCACTGGCCCGATGCCCCCACCCTTCAAGTTCCAAGAATTCGTGGAGCGCGTTGACTCGCCGAGCAACAAACAGACTAGGAACAAACGAGAGGACGCTCCGGATCATACTCGCCTACCCAGCGAAGCTGATTTCCATGTCGCAAGGCGGCACGACCGTGTTCGGCACCTAGTCTTCATGGATGACCTTATCAAGCTTTGCGATGTCGCGAAAGCGGTCCTGGAGCTTGTTGAACTGCACGAGCCCCTCGAAGAAGTCCTGCAGAAATCGCAGGACCTTTCACGGAACAGGGGCAGTCTGCCTTTGATGACACCGAGAGAACCCTATGCGGTCTCCTGGGAGTATTGTTATGCGCCAGCAATCGCGTGGGGGACTCGACACCGAACGATCCAGGCCGAAGCCGGCGTCGACCAGTATTTCGCGGACTATTTGGCAAATCCTGCAAGTCAGTTCTTTGGGTGGCTTTACAGAAATCCACCCAATCCCGTTATGGTCTCGCACAGCCTGCAAGTCTCCGTGGACAAGAATTGGCCCCGAAGACGGATTGCAAGTTGGACGTTGCTATTCTGGGGACGATATTCCGCACTCATTCCCCCCCAATCAAATATGATACCGCAACCCTATCTGCAATCGAAAACAAGATAGAGAAGGTCTTCTTGGACTTCATGCGCAGCTTGACAGATGCGAAGTTAGATTCAACGGATAAATTCATGCCCTCCGGACCGGGACGCCCACTGATCAAGATCCACTTCCGTTACCCTAGGGCAAAGATAGACCAGACCATCTACGACTACGTTTACACGGGCGAGCGGGACCCACGTTCGATAAAGAAATGGGAGGCAGTCATCGCTCAAGTATGTCGCATCCGGCCACCCATGGCAGTATCAATCATAACTCAGTGTCTTTAGGTGGCTACATACTTGTACTGGCATGAGACCCATCACGGTGCACTTGGATCTGAAAAGACAATCATCTTGTTCATCAAAGAGAAGACAAATCTGTTCATCAGCGCGCCCATTGAGGTGTGTATCAATCGTCCGTATGCAACAATGCCGCGCTAACGCGCTCCTGTCATGATAGGGCGACAAGCGCCAGCTTGCAATCCTTGGCCTGCTCCTGCATCGGGCTTACTTCGACAATGCGCGAGGGGCCGACTACGAGTACGAAGCAATGCCTGCTTATCTGAAGGCCGGACGTCGCCCGTGTCTTCGCGCTTCCCTCCGAAAAAGGAACATCTGCCTCATCCCTCGGCAAGCAGCAAGGAGTGCTTAGCGGTCAGCCTCAAGGTCGTCGGCGCTATCACACGGGAAGGGGCAGCCGTCTATCGGCGACAGGCCACTCATCTTCGTCGCAATTGTCCACGACGATGGCCGACCGTTCTCGAGCAACCGGAGCCCATCTGTCTCTCGATGACTTTGAACAGACATGGTATCCGACCACCCTACAATTCGACTTAAGAGCCCTCCGCCTGGATCCTTTGGCAATTGCCCCACATGTCTTCAGGGGCAGACTCGAACAGAAGAACATTGTTTGCAAGATCGTTCCGAAATCGAGGGCCTCCGATATGGACCACGAACGCGAGGTCTATGACCGACTGATAAGCTTGTGGGGCAACGGCGTGCCGCAGCCCTACGGGTTATTCGATTTTCACCTGGGGAAGATGTTGATTTTGAGCGACGAACGCGAGCCATTGGACGAGTGGCAATCGGAACGGTACGTTCTGACCATGGTGGTATTTATCCAGCTGATCATTGCACAGCCAAAAGGTGTATGATCTAGTTCAGAAAGTGCACGATCTCAATGTAGTGCACAATGATCTTCACCTCCACAATGTGTTGAAGGACAAGGACGGCAAGTTGACACTTGTGGGCTTTACAGATGCAACCGGTCATCTGGGAGGAGAATGTTACTGGACTTGTCCTGAGCCGTTCAGGTTCAGAACGTGGTTGTACCCGACAGATCGGCAGGATAGTCAGGAGCATGCAAACATGTAAGTTGTGTTGTTCCACAGGGTGATGGGTGAACTGTTGGTATGCGCACGTCGCCTCAACCTCCGGAGCACCAGCGTCAGCAAGCCCCATCAGTCCCACAGCCGGTACAAACGGGGCCGGCAAGTGAAGCCGTAGGCAACCTTGCCCATCCTCGCTCGTCACTGCGATTGTTTGATCCCCGACTCGCGTCTCATCCCCTTCCTGCGTCTCTTATCCCCCATGCCATCCGCCCCGTCGCCGCCTCAATTCCCGTCGTGCAAGTAGAGATGCCCTCATCTTCGCTTTTCTCTGGGATGGAAGGAGGAGAGTGGCATGTCAGTGCCGGTGCCGGTGCTGGTTCGGACGGAGGGGGCATCTGCAAACGGGCGACTCCCTGAAATGGCTAGGGAGCTAGAAGTGCGTGGAACTGTGGGTGGAGGAAAGGTCAAGGCAGAGATGGCAAAGGAAGCAGAGGCAGTAGGGGAAGCGAGAGCGATTATGAGGCTTTGCTCACCCTTCCTCCGGCGAATTCAGGGGGGCGAGCGGCACCAACGGAGCAAGGGAAGAGAGGGAGAGGGAAACGGAGGGGGGGAGGATGAGCATCAGCGTCGACCGTGACCGACCAAGGGAGTCGGAGAGGGCTGCTGGAGCAGCAGGAATAGCGGGAGGGGGGACATGGGCGAGCGTGCTGTTTCGTCCCTTGAAGATCTTGCCCGGGCAGGGAGAATGGGGAAGATTGAGCCGCTCCCTGCCTCTGGCGAGACGTCGACGAGCTCCGCTCCGTGGCTCAGGAGCGGCGCCAGCACCAGCATGTTCTCGCCCTCCCAATCAAGGACGAGCATCTGCTCTGACGCAGACAGCGTCTTCTCCCCCTCACCAGCGGCAGTACTCTCCCGCAGTGCTGGCCTGGCATGGACACACCAATGACGCACACCCCTACCCCTACCCCGGCCAGCTGCTGCGGTTGGACAGGGGTTGCAGGCAGCGTGTCACCCAGTCGAGCCCGGGGGAAGGGGGTTCGGCGCTCAGTATGCCGGGGTCACCTTGTACTTCTCCGAACGACCAGGGGCAGGGGCAGGGACAACGGCATGCCAATGGCAAGCGGTGGGGTCAGCAGCAGTCGGTAGGCAGAGGCAGACAGCCGAGGCTGAGGGCTCTAATAGGAGAAAGGAAGGTGTGGAGCAACAGAATGGGCTTGCAGGGTTGCAGAGGGGTTTTACAACACACGGGGCTGGCAGGAGGAGAGGCCTGCAATTGCCTGCTGGGAGGGTCAGGGCAAGCACGAATACAATGAATCTAAAGAGAGGGAAGTCGAGAGGGGGGGACGAATGTAGGCAGAGGGAAGAAGAGAGAGCCCTGGACCTGCGGGGAGGTGGAGAGGGAGGTCAAGCTGGAATGACTGGAGAGCGCTGTCCGTCGGCAGGAGCTGGCGGGCCTGTTCTGGGGTGCGTGTGCCTTTACTCTCCGCAAGCATATCGTACTGACGACCACCTCCGTGTGCGGAATATAGAATGCCCTTGCTCGCCCTGTGCCTCTCGTGGCTCTCCCCTCCCACCACCCACAGCTGTTCCACCCTGGCGTGCCCTTGGATATTTTCTCTGCAAGCTGCTCATGCATTTTGCACTCCCAACAGACATGCAGGCGATCGACCGCTTGAAGTAGACCTTGGCCCCGGCAGGGGCGACCCGATCCTCCGGCCTGGTCGGCGACGACCAAGCACACATCCTTGCATTTTGCATGATCATGCTTCATACGCATACAGACCCGTACCGCTAGGACAATCAGAGGAAGATCAACAGGGAGGATCATGTGAGGAATACGAGGCGGATGGGGGGTGCAGGATGTCGCAGCTGAGGTGTGTCCATCTCTCATTGTCTACTGCTCCGACTCTGTCGCCATCTTCCTGCAACCGGGAAGGAGAGCTAGAGGTCGCAGGTTGTGGGATGGGAGCGTGAGAGGCAGGGAAGGAGATCCTGATGCTGATGACCTGACAGTATTTACGACTACATCACCTTCACCCGGTTCATCTTCGTCAAGGAGGCGATAGACATACACGACTGGTGCTGTCTCATGTCCAGCCCAGCACGGACAGCGCCAACGCCGGATCGACCTCGCCGTCGTTACGTTCCTTACTCAATTCGGCCGATCAACTCGGGGCCCCCTCAGAGAGATCAATACTGAGATCTCTGCGAACCGGCCTGGCATTGCCAACCTGGGACCGCGTATGCCACCTCTCGCAATTGTGGCGAAGCCCGGCTATGCACACATAGGATCTGTTATAGACAGCCTCAGTCCGCTCTTGTGCGGCAAGGTCAACTCTTCCGGTACATTCAGCATCCACCAAGGCTAGCTGGATGGCCAGTCAGAGGTCACCGAGCGCAAGAACCCCTTGTTCGAGCAGGAAATAGACAAGCTCGAGACGCTGCCGGAGTTTGATCTGCGGGCGGCGCGGAACCTGGCAGACCCACGCCCTGCCAGAAGTCGACCAGGGACAAGACGAATGCTGTTGATCGGCCGCGTGCCAGAAGTGTCACCCAGATCCGGTTGGACGTGATGAGACTAAGGTGCTATTGCGACGGGCTCGGCTCGGACCAGGATGTGGGGTGGTTGGAGTGGGCAAAGACAAAGCAACCTGTGTTTGACGCTACTCAGGAACGACTTGGTGCGTGGGGGCAGGAGGCTCAGGGCAGGCCAGCCAAGTATGACACTTCCGATGCACCTGGAATTGGCTGCTGGAGACGGAGGATCCTCGGGCGCACTGGGCTTCGAGCGCGTCCTGGATTGACCGGCGCGCGGCCGAGGCCCGAGCCGTCCCCCACGATCACAGACGGCTTGAGCATGCTTGTGCAGATGATCTGCGGGTTGAAAGGAAATCATCACATCTTCATCAGATTTAAAGGATCGAAGTGTTATAAGAAGGAATAACAAATTGGTTCGCAGGGTGGATTTCACGTGACAGGGACGAACAACATACGTCATAGGAGCGACCAACCGTCCGAGGGCAATATATATATTCTGCACAAGCAAAACCCCACCCGACGATCCTTCCTCTTCATCTCCTCCATAATCACTCTTCGGCAAATATGGAAGACCCCGCTAAAGAACTCCCCGAGGTCGTCATGCTCTTCACGATGGCATCGACGCCCGAAGTGCAGCAGGCTGCCATCAACAAGTCCGTCCTCCCCCATTCCTCTGCTCTCTGCTGAGCGTGGCCGTATCCCAGGTATTTTTCCAAGGACGCGTCTTTCAACCACCCCCTGTGCAAGATCGAGCACGGGACGGAGAGCAGGGAGGGCATCCTTGCCGTATACCAGTGGTACAGGATACTCAGTCCGAAGATCAGCGTTCACGTCGATAACTGCCGTGAGTGGGTTGCCCCCAAGTCGAATATATGCGTCACTGACTGGCGGGACAATGGATGGTCGTGTACAGACTGGGATCCGAAGAGTGGGAAGGCGTTCGTTGCGGTGACGTGAGTGCTTGGGAGGGTTTGTGAGGCAGGCTCGGAAGAGCTCAATATATGCGCACTTGCAGGCAGACATTCCATCTCTGGTTCTCACCTTGGCCGGGAAAGCCCGCTAAGTAATCCTCTCCCTTCTATATGTGTCTATTGAGCTGACTCTGCTTTCTGCTCAGACTCCTCGTCCGGCTCACGCTTCAAGACCAGAATGGAAAGTACTACATCGTCCGGCAAGAAGACTTCTATGAACCCGAGGAGCTTGGATACATCGTATTCCCTCCCCTTGGGTACGTGATCGAGCTGGGGAAGTACGCGGGTGCTGCTGCTAGTATATTGGGAGTGTGGGGGGTACAGACTGCCAGTGCGTTCGGGTGGTGGAAGCCCGAGGAACATGAGTGCACGGAATGAGAGAAAGGTAGAATAGGACCTCATATTATACTAATAATCAACTACTGTACAACTGTTATACATGAGTCCATCATTAGAGGCAATATGGTGTCATGCGATACGTGAGCGCCTAGGCTGTCGGCTCGTCGAACATGTCCCCCTGTCCCTCTGCCAGCCCACCGAAGTAGCATGTCACCGCTGTCAACCGATTCGCCATCCATTCCTCTTCCACTTCGACCATCTCCCCACCTTCTTTGTCCAGCAGTGCACTCACTTCCTCCAGATCGACATGTCTCGGCAGGTAATATGCAACATTCTTCGTAATCCCTCTGCTGAGCTCGAACAGCTCCTTCCCATGCACGGGGCTGATCGCCGCCAACTTATACGTAGCAGGCTCTCCAATCCCCTCCTCTCCTTCCGCAGGCTTGTTGTATTCCGGCCCACCCCAGGGTGGGGACATGAACACGACATCGATCTTGCGTCTCGAAGGGCTGGAAGAAGGGAGCTGGATAAGAGACCGTGCGAAAGTAGGGTAGTCGGCAAGGATGAACTCGATACGATCGGCGACACCGTACAGAGCGGCATTATGTCGTGCCAAGGCAAGACGTATGGAAGAGTTGTCGATCGCTATCACTTGAGGACCCGTGGGTACATGCACCTTCGGGAAAGTGGCAAAAGAGAGACAAACCTCGGTCACACGTCCTCGCAAAAGCAATCGCGTTTCCTCCTACACCACAAAATGCGTCGAGCACGACATCGCACCGACATCGCTCGGCGATCTGGTCGGCGATCTTCTCCGGAGTGACGCTGAACCACCCGACTTCATCCATCAGGCATCCTTTGTCATAGAGAGAGAATAAGTGGTGTCGTCGACCGAACCCTTAGCAAACGTTAGAGGCAATCAAGATGTTGCATTGGGGGAGACTGACACTTCTGCAGAGAAGGGGGCATGTCCATCTTTTGCGTGTAATACGGTACGAGCGCGCTAGCGTCCCATTGTCGGTATCTTCTTGGTAGTGGCCCGGCGTAAGGAGCACCGTTATCCAGCTTTCGCCGTTTCCTTGAGATTGGAAAGCCATCAGGCCCCAAGGACGCAGCGACGGAAGTAGCGCCCGTTGCAGGGACACTCTTTCGGGTAAGATGCCCTAGTTCCCAGTGATCCTGCTGCAGTATATCAGCCAAATGGCTACGCTCTTTTTGGAGCGCAGTTGTGTTGCTGATCGGCAAACCGTCCAGTACAGGACGGCCACCCAGCGATGCCTTATCCGATAAGACGTCTTCTTCCATCTCAGTCACGATGAGCTCCTCCTCCGCGTCGCTTTGGATCAACGTGTGATCTCCCTCTCCCAACATGTTATAATCTTCATCTTCATGCTGGGTCGACAAGAACGACGCGCTTTCTCGTCGTGTCTTCTTCCTGGTAGCTTCTTCGCCACTGATAAGTCCCTTCGCGCCTTTAGCGCCCTCCTGGATCCCAAACGCAGCTTTGACATCGTCAGGTAACGAACCGAGCAAAGATCCCGGCCGAGCCTTTGACCGTCGGTGCTTTCCCATATCCCGCAGGAGGTCAAAGAGATAACAGGGAGAAACGATGGTAGACGACAAAGGTGTGTGGCAAGATATCGCGTGTTCTGTTGTCTTCTCAGACAATCAGCCTCCGGAGTTGTAGAACCCTAACTTCCAATTCCGACCAACAGCCTGACAGCACGTCGCACGACCAGAACTTCCCATACCAACCTAAGCCGATGTCCAATTCCCCAACAACCTCCGGTCCTGCACCTGCCCGACCACTAAAAGTCGCTGCCTCTACCCTTCCTGGTAAAGCCGCCCCACTCCAACCACGGCCGTCCGCTGCTGGGGCTGGGAACGCGCGTGCACCACAACCGACAGACATATCTAGTCCGCATGAACTGACGGCGTTTGTCTGTCTTTTTGGGTAACGTATGCGTAAACTTGACGCTGATGGCAGTTGCTTAGGTGGAATCACTCCTCACACAGTTGGAGACGAGGTTTGATGAGATGTCGACTCAGGTGCTGGAACGAAGTACGTGTCGTTGGTACGGCGTTCCGTGTGACAAGGCACTGACAGAGACATAGTGAACGCCATGTCTACACGGGTAGATTCGCTCGAAGTGTCAATACAAGATCTGATTAGTGGGGGTTTAACGCCGTTGCTACCCCAAGCGACGGGGGCGTCGACGATGGGCAGTGATGGGGTGAACGGGAAAGAGAGCTGAGGGGGTTGCAGCAGATGTTATGGACGGGATGGATGCTAGAGTGTTTGCTACGTTCACACGCTAATGGTATACCTCATTGTATGCTATGTTTGGTATTAGTATTGGAATCGATTCCATCGGCATTGAACGACGAAGTTACAAGTGAACAATGATCATTACCTAGGTTATGGAATCATTGTTTATGGGATCGTGTATGGGTTGGTTATGGAATCGTGTATGCTCGGTATAAGTGTTACATGCTGAGAAATGTATGCGCATCGTGCGCTTTTTTGATGAGCGAAGCCAGGACGGGGTCGCTTCTGAATTACTGGAGATGACAACATCGCGAGATGGGGCCATCGATGCCCAAGTCTGCGCTACTGCAGGGTTGAAAGGGTGCTTGGTAATTAACTTCGTTGAGTGCGCTGATGTCGAAATCGCATGCCGTTGAAGAGCTACCGTTGGAAAGATCTTCCATAGAAGGGCCATCCATGTCTTCACATTCTCCCACCATGGTAGCGAGACGATCATCAGGCATGCTAGGGAGACTTTCGACGATACGGGACCATTCACTTTCGGCCAACTTGAGAACTCTTGCACAGCCAGAGGCCAGCGAATCATCATGTTGGGAGGTTTGCGAGGAAGAATGCGCCCTAGGTTCAACTGTCAGCGCATACATATGCATGTCGTGGTCTGAACGTACGCGGTGGCCATGTTCATGACCTTGCCCATACGATCGATAGCATCCAGGTACTTGCGCCTCTCACAATCAGCAGCGACCGAGTCAGTCCGCTCCATTATATCTTCGTACACCTGATTCGCATGCCGGATCTTTGCGTTCGTACGAACTATAAGCGCATCGTATGACTTCTCTTGTTGCTGCGAAGATTATCAGAACGCGTGCTCGCATGGATAAGATGGTGCATACATGGACATTTTCGACCCAGGTCTGCAATTCATCACCCATCAACGCGCATTCCTCCACCCACTTCTTCGCGCATCTCACGTCAGCATCACGAGCAGGTTGCCAAATATCCAGGGCCTTCTTGAGCGTATCGAGCGGTTCGGCGCATACGTGTTCCATCCCGCTGAACGCCTCTAGGGCAGTGACAAGTTCTTTCCTTGAGTTTGCCAGGTTTGTGAGTGCAGTAGCATAATTCACGAGCTGAGTATGAATAGGGATCAATGCTTCAGCTGTCTGATGGACTTGGGTTCTGTCGAGGGTCAAACGTTGAGAGGCCATGGTGGTCGTTGCAGAACGATGAATGACACAAGCGGTGCAGCATCTTCCGTGATTTTTGTGAAATATCAACACTTTATTCGGGACTATAATTTGAGGGTTTTCCAAAGTTTGATTGATCTGGAAGGAGTCAGAGATGTGAAGAGCGAAAGAGAGAAACCGACAAGCTGGATATAGGGCGCGTCCCTGGAACGAGCACGTGTTCTGACTGGTACAAGGGTCTGGTCGGAAAGTCATGTGATCGACGGCAGACCCTTTTTTGATCGTGCCCTCATCAGTCGCTTTTTTATCTCAGAGCAGTTCGCCCTCACAAACCATCATCATGTTCCAACGAATACGTTCTGCTCCTTCAATACTTCGACCTGCTTCTCGAATACGTTTATACACAACCGAAGTGGCGCCGAACGCAGTCAAAGCCAATGAATCCGCACCAACGGAGCCATCCACCTCGTCAGGCGAGCCGCTCACACACTACCGCATCACCCTAATGCGCTCTGCGCTCGGCCTCCAATCATATGCCCGCGACACGCTCGCCGCTCTCGGTCTCAAAAAGCGCATGCAACATGTCTACCACCCTTTCAGCGCTACCACCGCTGGTCAGATCCTGCGCGTCAAGGAGCTTGTCAAGGTCGAGAACGTGCCTGCGAGCGCGGTGAAGACTAAACAGGAAGAGAGGCAGGAAAGGAGACCGGGAGCAGGGTTCCAAGTTGTGGGAAGGCAGCAAATGGCGTGGGCCGTAAAGGACGAGTTTGGGGGAAGTGAAGAGAGTAGCAGAGCACGGCGGACAAGTCTGGAAGGCCAGGAGGAGGTGAGGGATGAGGCTCATACGTCAGAGGTCGCGGCCTAAAGCATGTAATTTCTGGTAGGGTGCGATGTCCAACTTCAGTCCTCAATTGTTAAGATCACAGTCTGGAAGCCCGCACCACTACCGTCTGGGTCTCCGTGCCTTCCATACCTCTGTCTCTGTCAGGTTCACTTCCCATATCGCACCTGTTCTACCCCATCCCCTCACCCACGAATCGACCCCAACAGCTTTCGAGTACCTTGACAGCCTTACCCCAGAGTCCATACCCCACTCGACCTGTGTGGTCGAATTCTCGCGTTCTTCGGGACCAGGTGGCCAGAACGTGAACAAGCTGAACACTAAGGCGACTCTGCGGATGTCCTTGAAGCCGCTACCGAGTTGGGTGCCTGCTTGGTGTGTAGATGGATTACGTTCCTCTGTATGCGCGTTTTATCATTCGGTGCAATTATGTCCCTGACGACAGACGAAGAAAGAGTATGCAGCATCTTCGAACTCGATCGTTATTCAGTCCAGCGCAACTCGGTCACAGGCCTCGAATACCGACGATTGCTTTCGCAAACTACATGCGCTCGTCAATCACCATTCCCGAAGCGTGCTTGTTCCTATTCCCGATGAGGAGAAGAAGAAGCGGATAAGTGATCTTGAGAGGAAAGAGGCGGCAAGGAGGCGAATCATGAAGGAGAGGCAGAAATCAAAGAAGGCGGGTCGAAGAGGCGAATGATGTTGTATTACAACATCACAGGGGCTGAATACGCACGAATAGGAAGCTACGTTTGTATGTTTCACATTATTAGTGACGTTCAGTCATTGCTCGGTTCGGCCACCTAGTCTTGGCAAGGAACTCCCCACCCATACAATACAAAGAGGATCCTGCGCGGTTAGATTCAGTGTGAAAGACGGAAAGAGCGGCGACATAATCTTACCAATTCAGCCTCTCGGGTCGGAAGAAATGGAAACTGATCAACCACAACGCTAATGCAGCGGTGAGAACATAGGTGGGATCGCTGGGACAGGTTCCTTACTGAGTTCCATGTACGTGAAGAAGGATAGCGCTCCTCCAGCTGAGTCGCGCTTCAGCCACCTGAGCAGGTCTACCCATAGTTTCATATCCTCCGGAAATGGTCGGGCAGCAGGGTCGAGCAGGAGACAAAGCAGAACCCGGAGATCTGACTAATGATCAGTTTTGCTGGGACACGTCACTAAGAACTTCCTACATATGCCAATATGACTTCGGGTATCCAATTCATCAGCGGCGGGGAAGATGGGTTTATCGAGCTCACTTACAAATGACCAACGGTTCCTAGACATAGACATCAGTCTGGATTACGGACGTAAAGGAGGGTCTGCAGACCGATAGCATTGATATAGGCGGTATTCGTGAGCAAGATGGACCAGTCCTCGACGGAGAAGTTCTGCAGATAGAGGTTCGGTCGCTATACAAGCACCCTCAGCACCGTGTAGCGGACCGTCTTGATGCTCAACGACACATACATGGTATCTTTCTGGAAACAGTTCTGCAGGTAGGAAATCGACGGATGGTCTCTTAAATCCGGTTGCCATTACGATGACATCCGCGTCGAAGTGCTCTTCCGATCCGGCGTCATTCGGGGATGAGGATCGGCCACGCACATTGACTTTCACGCCCGTCGACGTAGCTTTCAGCACGTCCCCGCGTACATACTTGCATTTGTTCTCGTGGATCTCTGTAAGAAACTCGTCATTCACGATCTGTCGGCCCGTCAGAAAGGACAATATCAGAGGACCGGGGGTGGGCATACTGGTGTCCCTTCGAACAAGCCCAGCTGAGCGGGAGAAACCCAGCTTTCTCTGCCGTAATGGAAGATTCGAAGGATATCCTCGGGTATCCAGCTGTAAGAGTCCGTGAATGAAATGAAAGCACGACTTTCCGCCATCACGCACCTTAGTGGAATTTCGCGGCCGAAAGGCTGGAGTGAAAGCGCAGTATCGAAGAATATGTTCCTTGGGATGATCCATTTGTCGTGCCTGTTAAATAGCTCATGAATGCTGGGAAACTGTGCAGTAAGGTGAACGGACCGAGCAATGATCGTCACTGGGCCAGACTTCTTCTCACAAGCTAATTGAACAGCTTCGACACCACTCGCGCCGCTTCCGACAACAACCACTCTCTTGTCTTTCAGATCCACGTCGTCAAGTTCACTGGAATGGACAACAAGTCCGTTGTAATCCTCCAGCCCTTTGAGCGATGCATCCTTCTTGTCACCGCAGGTGCCGATGGTGACCACAACCGCATCGAACGGTCCTTCTCCATTCACCATCCATCGTCCATGTCCGCCCTCCGCTGGGTCGGTAGAGCTATCGGCCCGTGTCACTGAAGTCACTGTCGTCTGAGATACTATGGGTGAGAATTGTGATGCAGCACAGAGTGGGAATAGGTGCATACATTCAGCCTAGTGCGACTCTCGAGCTTATATTCCCGCCAAAGTCTTCGGCACTCATTCAGAATCTCATCCCGTTTGGGGAATGTAGACGTCCAGAGGACTCCCGGGTGGAAGCGATACAAAAGACTATTGAGCTGCAAACCGCTCGTTCGATTCACGTGTGCCCAGATACCTCCCACGGCATCGTTCTCTGGGAAGCAAATTCAGTGCAGTTGAGAGCAAGACCGACGAGCTTACTTTCGAAGATCTCAACTTCAAAATTATGAGAGATAGCATGAGCAGCTGTCGAAATGCCTGTTAGCCCGGCACCGATGACAGCGATCCGACCGTAGGGTCGCTTGAGCGGTCCATCCGTTTTCGGAGCTCTCTGTGTGACTGATGAACATAATTCAGTGTTCGGTTGTCATTTCACTCACAGGCTTAAAAATTGATACGATAAGTAGCTGCACAGTCATATAGAATAACTTGAAAATGTGATTGATCATGTTCAGCGGATAGAGGATACGCCAGTCATATATCTTAGTTCGTGTGGGAGTCACCTTGTTCTTGCTGTCCTTATCCAGAGCAGTGCCATTTTGATTGTCCATCTGGAACGGTATTCAGTCTCGTTTGAAGTCTTGTTGGCAGGGTAAGGAGGAGAGGAGTGCAGTCCATCCATTCACTAGGCATTTAGCTATGTTGTGTTTTGTGTGTAGGTTGGCCGTTGGAGTCGAAAGCAGACGTCATTGGGTGCATGTGAAAAACGCGTTCACGTCGCGTCTTCGTCTCACCCTCGCGTCCTTCACTCTTTCACTCTTCTTTGTACCATCATGCCACGTCACGGTATTGTTCTTTACCTTTTGTACTGAGCATAAAACCGATAACTTGCATAGCCGTAAGCTCTGCCAAATCCAAAAGCGGTGGTCGGGCAATCAAGCCGCTGTCCATCATGAAAAACGGATGCAGTACGAAGTCGACGCGTTTCCACGAAGCTGATGATGATGAAGATTTGGACAACAATGACGACGATGAAGTGGAGGAAGAAGACGAAGAGGATGATGGGTTTGATGAGAAGTGTGTTTTCGTCTCTGGCACTGTAAAATACACGCATATGCTTACATCCCCCAACAGGGAGATCAAGAAGTTTCTCGCTGCGAAGAAGAGTACGCGTCTCTCCTCCCATTTATTGAAGGCGTCTCAGCTGAATGTCATGTGAATAGAGCAGACAAGTGCATCTCGAGCTAGCTTGACGACAGCTATAAACAAGCAGAATGTCTCAACCCGCGCTGCGTTATTGGCCGCTAAGAAGGAAGCGGAGGCCGAGATGTATGCGCCTTCTGCCCTTTCACCAAACGTGCTTCTTAGTCCATTTATAGTCGCAATGTAATGGAGCGCATTGATGTCCTCCTTCAGTCTGATCCTACTCCTACCTTGAACCCAATGCTCGATCTCATCGGTAGTCGTAATGTAAGCTTCCTTTCTCGAAGGACACAATGAAAGTCACTGATGTCACAATGCGTGTCACAGAACGCTGCTGAAGCCGTCCAGGCCCTTTATGCCAATGTGATTGACAAACTATCTGCTGACAAGGACATGGCGTTGGAAGCTACGGACAATCTGGGTGAGTCCCCAGCCATACCCTTCGTTGCACGCGCATATCTGTCGCAAAGTACAAGAACAGGCCAAGCAGCGAAGGAAGCGGTTCAAGGAAATCATTGACAAAGCACATGGGGCGCTAGATGAAGGTCAGATGAACCAAAAGGTACGTTCGGATGCAGGAGCCGTTCTCTTTCACCATGCCTGGACTGCCAAATCTGCATTTGGACGCTGGCTGACACGGTTCTGCTTTGCTCGTTCTCTCGTTCTCTCGTCGCCTCGGTCCCTCAGGCTGTTACGGACTCTACAGAACTCATCGCACATCTTAAGCGTGCTCTCTGTGCTTGAACAGGTTCTCGAGATGGCACAGCATCGGTTCTTGGTCTGTTGTTTTCTGGGTTCAGAAATGGCTGTATGTCGGCTTTCAGTCTAGTCTTATGGATGACACTATGTTTCAAGTTTCCTCTCGCCGGTGTAACAGTACAATCACAAAATATAATACCAAGCGACGTAGCCACCGAGTCTCTGTCGAGACGAAATTGAATGCCCCGCACTCTCTCTCGACGACTCTCTACCATGCCTTCCTCTGGAACGTCAGTACCTCCCACAACATTGTAAAGTCACCCCGCAAGCTGTACAGCGGATACGTGAATGTTGCCGGCCTGTTCCTCTCCGCAAAGAAATGGCCCATCCACGCCAACCCGTACCCCTCAACGATGGCCAGCACAACATACTTCCATATATCCTTCTCTTGGATAGCCCAGCCTCTGGTACGACTGGCCAAGTGGGGGTATTCCAGCAGCTTGCAGAGGTAAGGAACCGCAGCGGCGACGACCCGGCCGAATATGACGATGCTCCCGCTTGTGCCGACGAGGTGGAGCATCCGGTTGATGCGATTCCGATGTTCGCCCAGGTAGAAAGGGTAGAATGCCCTGAACGACTTGTACGGTGTTGGAGGGAGAGATATGCGCTCGTACGTTGGGTTGGCAACCATCGTGGTTCAACTGATGGTATGGGGTAGTGCGGGGTTGTACGGGGTAATACGGGGTAGTAGGGAGAGGTGCCACAGGTCTCGGGTGAGATCTAGCAAAAAGTAGTGCATTTATAGGATCGAGTGTGGTCATCGTGCCACCTCACTGCCCCGATATATTAGATAACCCGTGACGACAGGGGTATTCGAATGTAACACTCGTGATCACATGCACGGTTTACTGAGGCAGCTCATAACCGGCAGTCCAGTGAAAATCGACCCATGTGAAAGAAGCGAATGGTGAAAGCTGGAGAGAGCCGTTGAGAAGTATCAGAGGGGTTATCATCTACGCAGGGCGGGTTAATGATCGATAGTGAGGATGTCAGCGGGTGTCACAGTATCGAGAACACCAGACCTTCGCCCAACATAACCGAAGTGCTCCAGAAGTGCCAGTAATACAATTGTTTCGAAAATATGATCAATCAAGCATATTCCTCACTGGCAGCGAGTCCAAATATCTGCCTCAGCACTCTCCGGTCTCCCCATGGTCTCCGTCCGCCCAGCACGGTCTCGGCCGCTTCGTACCTGTTCTCTGGCTTTCGCACCTGGTCGCATATTCGGGCGTATCCTTGCTCGACACGTTCTAACGTGCGTTGATGGATGATGAGCGATATTTGAGCAGGTAACAAAGGGGGCGAAAGAAGTGGTGATGCGAGGAATTGCGAAAAGGCAGTGAGTGCTGTAGATAAGGCTGCAGGAGATGAAGCAGGAAGATGTGATAACGGGGTCTGTCCCTCCCGGTTAGTAAAACAGCACGAAGTATCGAATCATTCGATATTGCTCACAGTTGCATCTACTGTCTCAATGGCTTGCAGGATAGGGGCAAGTCCGCTATCTTTCAGTGTCTTTGTATACTGCAGCCAAGAGTCAATACGAGGTCGCTATCATCGGAGTAATGTTCCTCACATATTCCTCCACCAGCTCCTCGACTGATTTCTCGATCTTCTGTTGGAGGTCCATCACTTGAGCTTGTGCAGACTCAAATGGAGCCAAGATACCCTGCGCGACGTATTAAACATGGTCTTCCCAAGAAAGCGGGAAAGCGCACCTGCATGTAGACCACACAGTTCACGAAGAACACCTTACCGTTCCATCCCCCACCACCCAGTTCAGCTACACGTCTGCACATCTCCTCCATTGGCCCAAGCGCGGCCGTCAGTACCTTGTCGAAGCTGCGGTCGTCTTCAACCAGCTCTTCAGTGGTCGGCGACTTGAGATCGTCTTTGGTTAGAGTTGGAGGTGCCACGGAGGGAGGCGGAACGAGCGCTGAAGTGTAGACTTCGATGATTTCGCGCAGTGTGTGTGAGGCCGAGCGCAGCTCCAAAGGGGGGGACAGGTCAGTATCCGGGGGCTGCAGAGGGTGAGTTAGTTAGTACTCTAAAGGGCGAGCGATGAGAGCATACATGAAGGAAGCGCAGGAGGGAACGGCCTTGAGCGGCAAGCGCTTCGAAGAAAATGGAGTATGCATCGTCGGTCAGCCTTAATATCATCAGATACCCTGCTTTTTCTGAAAAAGATATGCGCACTCTCGCAGCAAATTAGAAAGCTGGGCATCCGGCCCTACGGTTTGGGCAATGATGACGGCATAGAACTGCAAGAGGTTGTACAGCTTGTACGTAACAAGCGGGGACTCTTGTGATCGGATCGTTTGTTGCACCCGGACCTTGAGGGGTGCTCTCACACGCTCAAGTCCTTCGTCGACCAATCGCTCCGCCTCCTCAAGTTCCTGTCCTTTGGGCGCCGGAGTTCGTTTTTCTCCAACCCACCGCCTCACTCGGATTCCGAACAGGCTCTCCAAGAACTCTCGCTCGCTGGCAACTGCTCCGTGGATCCAGGCAAGCATATCGCCAACGTAACGGATTGGATCATGTGCATGTAGCTCAATCGGTGCTCTGGATGTCGGATTGAGGGTGAGGGCAGCAAGGAAAGAAGAAAGAAGGTGTGTACGGCGGGTATCTGTGAATGTGGATAATGCGGTGGAGAGGAGGTCGGGGTAGGGCCGTAGGCGGCGAATGACCTCCTGCAACGTGGGAGACACTTCGGCGGGTGGGTCGCGAGCGAGCGTATGCAGCTCGAATGATGCCCAACGAGCTAGCTTCTCGTGTCCCTTTTCGAGGAGGGAAGATGTGGTGGTCATGATATCAGTGCTAGTCACTTCATCAGAATATTGTTGCAAGAAAAGGATAAGTTACGGACCCGGCCTTAGTCCCTCCTCCCTCTCCGGTCAGCAAGACTCGGCATTCTTCTCTTATTCGAGTAGCACTGTCCAAGGTTGCTAAGACACGATCACCAACAGGCACCTCCCGGCTCGTGAGGGCCTCCGTCTCCGCTTCTGTAAGGGTGAAGCGGGACAGGAACAGGGAGATGAGAGCGGCTTTGGTAGCTGTGCTTTTCCTGTCTCAAATCAGCATGATCGGTTAATCTGGATAAATCGTGCACGTACCGTTGAGCAAGCAGCGAAGATGACATTTCCAGCAGATGCTTGCAGGCTAGTTGTGCTGTTTGCAATTGGTTTTGTGCATCGTCACACTGTGTGTGCATCTCTGTGACATGCTCTTCAAGAACTTCCAATTTCTGCACGGTAGTTAGTCGCGCAAGTCATTACGCAGAGCAAACATCACGGACCGAGTTGACTTCTCCAAAAGCATCAAGAAATCGTCGACTTCCCTCCGCTAGTCTGTCTTCTGTATCCTTGCGTAGTGATTTCCTCGCCCTAGCTGCTACTCCACGAGAATCCGAAGCATCGGCATAGAAGTCGGAAACCGTCGTTAGAGCCTCATAGGTTGCTGGATCAGAATATGACGACCCAAGAACCTTGTAAAGGCGAAGCGTGAGGGGATTGTTCCTTCCGGATAGGGAACTAGCTGGTCCCAAGCCAAATGAAGTCCCTCGATTTGGACTGAATAGTGAACCGGATGGTGGGGGAGACAGTAGCGACGTTGAAGGTGTCCCGCTGGTCATGGTGTTCAAGTCGACATTGAGGCGGAGCGCACCGTCCGAAAACGCGTGCTCATTGGCTGACGCGGTGCCCTCACCCTTACACGTCCTCAGCTCAGCCACTGAGACCCGTATTAGCAGAGTTGCCCCACCATCATCATACTTGAGCATACACTTCTCTCTACGACGATTCTACAATCTAAGAACGCTCGTATACACTAGCAATAATGGCCATGCTGAACATATTCAGGCTATTAGGTATGTTTGGACAGACAGTGACCAGAGGCACAAATTTGACGCATATATTCTGCGCGTCCACAGGGGACTTATCCCACCTTGCATCCATCTTCATCCTCCTCCACAAAATCCAAACATCCCGGTCATGTCGAGGTGCGATCTCATCTATATGCGCCTTGCTTGACATATCTGATTGACTTTGTTTCGCAGGAATTTCCTTCAAGACTCAAGTGCTTTACGTCGTCGTGTTCTGCACACGTTACCTCGATCTGCTCACTTTCCAATTGCACTCTTTCTACAACACGATTATGAAAATATTCTTCATCGGATCGAGTGTCTACATCCTCTACCTCATGCGTATCCGTTTCCGACCAACGAACGACCCTAGCATCGACACTTTCCGGATCGAATACCTCCTCGGCCCATGCGCAGTCCTTAGCCTGATCTTCAACTATGGTTACAACTGGATAGAGATCCCCTGGAGCTTCTCCATCTTCCTTGAGAGCGTGGCAATCCTCCCTCAGCTTTTCATGCTGCAGAGGACAGGTGAAGCTGAGGCAATCACAACGCATTACATTGCCGCCCTTGGTGCCTATCGTGCATTGTACATCCCCAACTGGATCTATCGCTACTTGACCGAGACCAACGGGGTGGATGCAATTGCTGTGGTTGCTGGGATCGTACAAACGGGGCTGTATGTTGACTTCGGCTACATCTACTTCACCAAGTACGCCCTTTCATGCGTTGTTCAAGCATCTGCTAACCACTGCGTCCAGGGTTCTTCAAGGCCAGAAGTTTGAGCTTCCGGCATGAGCATAGAACCAGCGCGGACGTGTATAAACCCAAACCAAAATATATCGGGCAGACGTAGCGCGACGATACGAACTCAAACACTGTACTGTTGGCTATGACGACATGCATGTATACACCAATTCGTGAATAATGCACCTTCGTGTCGTCTGTCGAGTTTGGACGCGGTTTGAATTTTCAATCTTATCGAATGACAAATAACATTCACGCATTAAACCCAGTTTGAGAGGATACAACAAAAGGTGTCACAGATCATTTGGAACTTGTGTTACCACGTTAGAGCAGCGCAGCTCTCGGATTCTCTTCATTCTGCAGTGGGTGGCAGCCCTCCATTCTGTGCAGGAGGAGCAGCAGTACCGGGAGGAGAAGCAGTCTTCCCGGGCTCTGGAACGACCAGCGGGCTGCTTTTGTACCTCGCCCCTCTCACCCGAGGACTAACAGCAGCCAAACGGTCTTCCACATCCTTCACAGTGGGCACAACAGGCGGAGCCATAGCCACACTGGGGATGCTACCGCTGTCGCCGATAGGGGTATGCACGCCGCTCAGTGCCGCTGCAGCGGCTCTACGCCTCCCGCGCTCCAGAAGGATGGCCTCGTTCAACAAACTTGGGGAAGCAGGCCCACGACGTTGCGCCGAATCGGTCGGAACTTGCAGCTGAACATGCAAAGGAACGCCATTGACAGGGTGAGAACGAGCCGCGGGTGTTGATTGAGCCGTCGGAATGCTAGTGTCTGAAGTCTGCACCATGATTGCCGGAACCGTGAGAGTGATATGATTCTGACCCGGAGGCACGGCAGTAGCCGCAGGAACAACAATTTCTGGAGGCAAGTGCATGACAACAAGAGGAGGGGTAGATGCAGGTCTTGATTCGGAAGGACGCTCGTCAAGATTCCCGGCAGGAGGAGCCTCACCAGGTTCATCGAAAGATACTCCGTCACCTTCGCCTGCAGCTGCGGGAGAGTCGCGAGTCCTGCCAGGAGCGCTGCGGCTCCTCTCGACCCCGACGAATGCCTTCATACGGTTAGGAATAGCGGCGTTAACAGCAGATGTCATCTGCGAGATGGCGGGTTTAACGGCAGCGGTGAGTCTGCTTTGTTTGGCCTTTCTCGCCGCAGCTTCTTCGACCGCACGCTGAGCCTCCGGAGGGACGTAAGCAGTCGCTGGGTTTGCACCCTGACCTGACACGTCGTACTCGTCGTAAATCTCTTCGCCGATGAGCTCTTCAAGCACATCTTCCAGGGTGATGACACCAAGAGGTGCACCTTCAATAGTCTCGATGAACTGAAATAGATGGTAAGCATCGAAATGCAACAAAGCAAAGAAGGACCTACAGCCTGAGCGCGTGCGGGGGCAAGGACGGCGTCCGCAGGCATGGTCTGTTCCCTAGGGCCCATAGCAGCCTTCTTTTTCCGCTCCTTCTCTCTTTCCTCCTTGATGATAGCAGCAGCAATTGTCGGCGGTGAAGCTTCATTAAGGATGATGTCTCCGTTCATTTTCTTGACCTCATCAACCTTTGCGTGCCCATTCTGCTTCGACTTAGTTTTTCCCGTTTCGAGATCTTCCTTGCTGCCTTTCTTGCTCTTCTTGCGCCTCCAGAGCTTGTTGTTGCTCACATCTTCATCCTCCGAACTGCTATCGCTAGAGCTGCTGGAGTCACCATGACCGAAATGACGGAAGAATCTGCGAGACAAGGACTTCTTGGCTTCCGCGAGACTCTCATTCCGAAGGGAGAGCTCCTTGGTTGTATGACGACCGATACGGGAAACGATGGCCATGTGAGACCTGCCCTCCTGGAAGCGGTTCAATATGCCTTGCAGGGGTTCGTCGAATGGCACAGACGGAACGGCGTTGAGTGGAATTTCGCGAAGCGGGGTGGCATCTTCCGGGTCTAGGAGAACACACTGCTTGACGAGGAGGACACCAATGATCTTGGTGACTTTCTTATCGCCAACCTGGATCTGGTGGAAAACCGGAACACGAGAATGACCCGAATGCACAATGGTCGCAAGGGTCTCGTAGTCCAGCTTAGTATCAATATCAAGCATGAACGTCTTGCTGATAGGAGTCATGCTACACGGATGTTAGAGTACGAGGCTTACGAGAAAGTCAGTGCTTACGCATCAGCGGCCACCTTTTCCTGCAAATCCAAAGCACCGCCGACAATTGTGACGGTATCCCCTTTGAGATCACCGCCCATGTGTTCAGCAGCAGCATGCATGTTGATGAGTTCCTTGAGTTCACTCCTGCGGTAGATGATACCGTGGTGCGGTCCAAGGACAAACTCGAGCACCTTGGCCACCGGCCATGCGACAATGAACTACATCTTTGGTCAGGGTTATGGCATCAGTCACAGAACGATGTCACGCACCAGAGCCCAAATGAGCACGCGAACATAGGGTGCCATCACAGCTCCAATGACGAGGCCATAGCGGGAGCAGACAGACTGCGGAATGATCTCGGAAAATCTAGATCATATCAGATATATGCGCATATAACTAGCATAGAGGACTAGCACACACATGACGATCAAAACAGTCGAGACCACGACTGCTTGTATGCCGCCTCCTAGCGCTTCGGTTGAGAGGACAGGCAATGTCTCGTTCACGATCATGTTGGCGATAAGCAGTGTGATCTAGATAAGCAGATGAGTGTGACTGTATTGAACAGAAAATGCAGATAATGTGTACCAAAAGCAGATGTCCATTCGCACGGATTGGTTGGATGCGCTTGGCATACTCCTGCTGCTTAGGAGTGCCCGAGACGGCAAGAACCTTTAGTTGTGTCTCATCCAGGGACATGTAACCCAGGGTTAATCCTGCAAATACTCCGGAGAGAAGGACGAGCACGGGGATAAGAACGGCCGAGGCGATGAAAACTGTGAAGACACGAGAAATGTCAGAGCTATATTGAGAGGGCACTGCGGCCTGCTCTCGAGAGGAGCGGTTACACTCACATCCATCATGCCCAGTTGCTCTCTTTACGAGTGCATGAGCCGAATCGCTCAACCCGTTATAGTAGCTGGACAACTGGCCGAGAGTGCCCAGACGGTTTGACGGGGAGCTTAAGACACCATGGCTGCTGCTCTGGGCAGCGCCGAGCGGGCTTGCGAGCGCCGAGCTGACGCAGAAGGCCAGCAGAAGACAAAGGGCGAGGAGAGTGGGCACGCCTCGCGCGTGCAGATGAAGACGGCAGCCATGATTACTTGGACTGGAACTACAGGACAAGGGGGCGATTCGTATGTTGTCTACCATCAAATGTATGGCTTTGATAGACGGTGCTGAAGAAGGCAAGTATATGCGTCGTAGGACGACGGGGAAGTCGTCGAGAATGATTGGTGCGGGGTTCGCCTGAACGGTCTTGGCCTTATATCGTATCACTCCGCTTGCTTTGCCCGACCTGCGCGTCAGAGGCCGTGGCTGGGATTTCAATCGCCCGGCACATCGCCCGGCACGTCCCGCGTAAGCCTGATTTGTAGCCAGACTTCCTAGCACAGCCTTTGGCTCAAGCACGTGCCTGGTCTGGGCCAACTTCTTTTAGGGCAGCAGGCGGAGATGTCCTGGCTGCCGACGAGACCACCGACGGATTCCAGATTGAGCTATTGTTCATTCATGAAGTACTGCGTGGTCCTGTGCAACCGCAGTGTTCACCTTAGTCGAAAATCATAACGGCACATACGCGGTCTTGGCATCACCAATTCCTGAGGGTTGATTACTAACGCGATTCCCGGAGGAACCGAGGAGCGTTCTTGTATTCTATCACACTCGATCACGTGATAACTGCAGAACACTTTCCTATGGAGGCTGGGAACAGACAGGTCCCTAGCCCTGCCTCAGACCTTCACGCCACACGTCAGACCTGGATAGGTTCTTAACCATTTTTTAAAACAAGGATAATTAGTAAGCATTTTCAAGCTCCACACTTTTGAACCTGTCATCCAGCTATTTTCTACTTAGCTGGAGTGACATTCAATTTGGGGTTAAGGGGCCCGTCTGCCTTAGCCCAGCAAGACTTGTTCAATTTGGGGTTTCCTTTTGTCCCCACCTCCCACTAATGTAGTTTAACAGTAAGCAGGTCACAGCAGTGAGTGGGTCACATCACGGACCCTGTAATACATGATTGTCATGCATCTCCATTGTACCCATGCCTCCCTCCTCCAATGAGCACCGAGTGCTCTTAGCTCTTGCTGCTATGAAGACCAATCCAGCATTGTCTATCTGAGAGGCTGCAAGGCAGTACAATGTGTTGAACTCAACACTGCAGTGCAGAATGGCTGGTGTCAAAGCATGCACAGATATGCATAGTCTGCATGCCAAGTTGACAGCAACCAAGGAGAGGGTGGTCATTGAGTATGTGCTGAGGCTGGAGGAGCAGGGGTTTCCAGTGCAAAAGGGAGATTTGGAAGGGATTGGCAGATCTATTGCTTGCAAAGAGAGGAGGGTTGAAGGTCAGGGTGGCATGGGCAGACTGGTTCATCCGACAATGACCAGAGATCAAGACTTGGCTCTCCCATCCCCTTGACTACCAGAGAGCATGGCAGGAAGATCCACAAGTGTATGCTGCATGGTTCTGGCTTGTGACCAATATGCAATCAAAATATGGTGTTCAGCCAGGCAATTTCTATAACTTCAATGAGACTTGCTTTGCCATGGGCATGATCAGAGTGACAACAGTTGTGATAAGCAGTGAATGGACAGCCCGGCCAAAGGCTATCCAGCCAGGGAACTGGGAGTGGGCAACAGCTATCTGCTACATTGCAGCAGATGGGTATGTCCTCCCCTCTTTTCTTTGCATGCTTGGGCAGCACCACCTTGCAACATGGTATGTGGACAACAACATCCTGGAGGATTGGGTTGTCAAACCCACCAACAAAGGCTGGATGGACAACACTACTGGTCTGGAATGGCTTATGCACTTCAACAAGTGTACTGAGAACTGCAGGATTGGTCAGTACTGCATGCTGGTCCTTGATGGTCATAGGAGCCATGTCATGGTTGAGTTTAACCAGTATTGCAAGGATCACAATATTGTCCCCCTCTGCCTACCGCCACACTCATCACACTATACTCAGCCTCTTGATGTCAGCATCTTTGGGCCTTTAAAGCAGGCATACTGCAACCAGATCTCTTGGCTCTGGCATCACAAGCATCACAAAGCCCAACTTCTTTGCCACATTCCACACTGCATTTGCATTGGCATTCACAGTTCAAAATATTAAGAGTGGATTCCAAGGTGCTGGTCTGGTGCCTCTGAATGCACAGGCAGTCATATCAAAGCTCACATTACACCCATGGATGCCTACACCTCTGCCAGTTGATGAAGAACCGGAGCAGCCATGGGTCTCACAAACACCAAAGACTGCAGCAGAGACTGCCTCCCAAGCAACACTCATCAAGAACAGGATTGCCCAGCATCAGGGGAGCTCACCTACCTCAATCTATGCATCGATTAACCAGCTTGCAAAGCATGCCATTGAGCAAGACCATCACATGACACTCTTGACTGGATGAGTGCAGCTTCTCAAAGAGACAGTTGACCACCTTTCCAGATGTGGCAGGATCAAGAATGTCCATCTCCAGGACTCTGGAGTACTTACTGGTGCACAAGCCAATGAGCTCTTGGCAGAGCAACATGTTGGTGAGCTGGATGGGCAGGATCAAGGCAGAGGGGAGGCTTGGTTGAATCAAGCAAATCTGGGTGCACAATGCTGTAGACTCTGCAGATTGCCTGACACAACTCCAGGACATGCCCTGGTGCAGAACAAGTAGATAATGTGCCTGTACAGCAGTCTGATTAATGAGATGTTGCTTTAATGGTGAGATATCATACATCCATCACAGAGGGTCCACAAACCTGACCCGTTTGCTGCCCTGACCTGATCACTGCTAAACTATGTTACTTAGCTTAAATAGTTAAATAGATTCAAAGAAATCAACCACCTTATAAATACATGAATAAAAATTTCACACATATCAGCATTGCAGAACCAGCTGTTGTATTAAGGACAAAAAGAGAACTATAGCAGGTATTCACTATGGGCCAGACTAAGTACTTCTATCCAATTTTCTGAGCATCAGACCTTTGGGTGGATCTTCAATGGAGGAGGCTGAGGCTTTGCTGCAGGGCCTTTCCAGTGAGATCCTGTGTCAGTCTTACTCTTCTTCCATGTCTCTCTGAGCTCTATGGAGAGAGAGGAGCATGCTTGCATCCTTTTACCTTCCCCTTCCCCTTCCCTTCAGATCCCTGGAATCAATGCCTGTGGTGCTCATAGAAGCTGCATGCTGCCTCAGGTCCACAGCAATCTCCTTGAGGATAACTTCTTCATCTTCCTCCTCCCCCAGGCTTGGGGATGCATGGTTGCAGTCATAATCTCATC